AGTGGCCTTACCCTCGGGGTTGTCCAGCCTCACTGTCGCTCTCCCATTTCTGGCTGTTTCTTTCTGATAAACCACCCCATTCCCTGGCCCCCTAGCCTGTTCTGGTGATGATCTACCAAGGTCCTAGATCTAGCGCTTCACAGAGGGCGATAATGCCAACAATTCCCATATGTTGGCTTCTGCCCCAGCTTCCATGACTTTCAGAATGGGACTCCCTCAATATCACTGCTGGGGACAACCTCAGCACTGGGGAGCAGGCCTCAGGGGTGACTTGGGGATTTAGCTTCCCTCTCCACCATCTGCATCAGATCTCTCCCAAGCCATCCTTAGGAAACATACAATCTAAGCGGAAACAGTGTGCTTACAGTGTAAACACAGCTCCCCTCTCAACCAGACCACCATCCCTAAGCTCCTAAATGTAAAATTTGGAATTGCCACAGAACAACGGTCTAGGATAGTGGTTCTCAATCTTCTAGCCCTTTAAATACAGTTCCTCACGTTGTGACCCAAACATAAAATTATTTTCGTTGCTACTTCATAACTGTAATGTTGCTACTGTTATGAATCATAATGTAAATATCTGATATGCAGGATGGTCTTAGGCGACCTCTGTGAAAGGGTCGTTCAACCGCCAAAGGGGTCGCGACCCACAGGTTGAGAACCGCTGGTCTAGGATGTGGTTCAGCTTTCCATAGTTGGCGCTCCGGGAGGAACTTCTTCCAAGTCTCTGGAGTTGCCTGGAGGAAGCAAGCTAATTTAGCACATCACCCAGAGAGCCGCGTCTAGCTGCTTCTCAGTTCCCTTTTGCTGTGTCGAAGCATGACCTGCAGCCATGATTCCCATTGTCCAATATGGCAGCAGCCGTATGTGCCTATTTGAAATGTGGCCAATTCTGAGTTGAGATATGCTGTATGCATAAAATACAAATACATGTAATGCATTTGGAGACCTAGTACCAAATGAAAAACACCTCATTAACAACCTTATATTGATCACGTGCTGAAATGGTAACACTTTAAATATGTTGTGTTAAAATATATTCTTATCAGTAAATTTACTTAGCTCTTCCTTTTAAAGATGTGCTTCTAGCAAACCTAAAATTACAGATGTCACCTACATTATATTTCTATTGGACAGGCTCAGCTCAGGATGAGGCCTTAAAAATGTCCTCATACACCTTCCAAAGGTTTGCAGGATGTGCTACATGTTTCGTCTTTCCTGCCCTGGCAATGCTTAAATTATTTATTAGAGATATTGACGATAACCCCAAATTATTATCTACATTGTCCCCAGATGCCAATGGGACAAGTATGTAAACTGAGTCTCTGGGGCAACCACAGATATTGAATCCTGGTAGTGACTGAGTTTATAGAGCTTTCTTTCTCCCCTTCTCACACTTCTTTTGAAGACAAGGATAAAACATGACAGAATTCATCATAGCTTAAAGCCCACCATCAATATATATATGCACAAGCAATACACCATTCCAACAAACAGCAGTACGGAAAAAGGAAACCCAGTTGGCAACTACTCATTTATCACTGAGAACTTGGTCACCCCGCTGGATTTTTGGATGACCATAAGATATGTCACCAGCATCAAGTCTGGAAGAATCTTTATATATATAATGTTTTTATTGATTTTTAGAAAGAGAGGAAGGGAGAGAAATAGAAACATCGATGAGAGAGGAACATCATTGATTTGATCTGCTGCCTCCTGCATGCCCGCGACCCGGGCATGTGCCCTGACCTGGAATCGAACCACCCACCTCTTGGTTCCTGGGTCGAAGCTCAACCGCTGAACCATACTGGCTGGATAAATCTGGAAGAATCTTTATGCTGCACTTGGTCTAATGCCCAATGACAGAGTTTAACGAAGTCATTCATTTGGATCCTAGTTTTCAACTCCAGCATCACTGAAAATGGGGTTTGTTTGAACTGAAGTTACCCTTAGATCACTGTGCTCATTACTTCATATTAATTTGAGAGAATATGCTTGCGTTTCTCATTTATAAAATATATGTTACAGAAAACTCTCAGGAAGGCATGGCATTTGCCTTGCTAATAATTGACTATTTTTCATAAGAGAAATTAAATGAGAATCTAAATGATGAACCGAGTATGTTCATGAACCTACAGTTATGGCTTTAATCTCTGATTAGCTTTCCAAAGAGAAAACTCTGCTCCAGACTTGCCTGATTGCCCAGGGCCTTCTAGGGACCAGGGCATTTGCTCACCTTCCTTCCTGGAGATTGAAGGATGGCAAATGACCAGCCACTGCGGGCTGTAAACGGCTTTCTTCCCTTCTTGGTTCTATTTTGATTTGCACCCATGTCATTATCCAGAACATGATTTCATTGGAAAGAATACCAACCCTTTAAATAAATAAAAAGAGCAGCTGTGGCCTTTCATTTCTGTTAAATAATAAGGACTCTCCTAAGGATGAGTTGAATCTAATTTCAGGCCAATTCAACCTTGATGCTGCTGAGAAAAACACAAACCAGCGGCTCATCTGAGGACAGTGACGTGTGAATCTACAGAGCTGTGGTTGAATCCTACTGGCTGATATTAGCATCAGTTTATCTTGCCTTTCATTGGCTGAGAATGAAAAACTGAACTGGGCGCTCTAAAATTAGATATATTTAAGTGCTTTTCAAACCGAATCTCCATAATCTGTTGCTATGCTTACATTATGTGGGAAGTAACATTTCTAGGAATTGTCCCCAAGGGTTCTAAGTCCCCAATCCATGCAACCTGTGAATGTGCTAAGACCTCACTTCCCTGCTTGTCACGCCTATGGCACAGTGGACCTTCGAAAGGGGAGATTATCGGGGCGGGCCTAATCTATTTAAGTGAGTCTTGAAAACTAGAGAACCCTCTCTACCTGGTGGCAGAAGGTTACACAGGAGGGGACCCAGGGGAGACCCTGAGCATAAGGATTGAATGATAGAGGGAGCCAAGTGATGACGAATGTATGTGGCATCTAGAAGTTTAGAGTGGCTCCAGCTGACAGCCAGCCAAAAAATGGGGACCTAAGCCACAAGGATTTGGGTTCTGGCAACAACCTGAAGGTATCATGGAAGCAGATAAGAGCCCAACTGGTTGACAACTTGACTTTGGCCGAGTGAGACCATAGCAAAGAACCCAGCTGAGCCCACGTAGACTCTAAGCTACTGACCTGTGAGATTAAAAAATGGGTGCTGTGCTCTGCCAGCATGGCTCAGTGGTTGAGCATCAACCTCTGAACCAGGAGATCACAGGTCATTTCCTGATGGGGCACACACCGGGATTGCAGGCTCGGTCCTCAGTAGGGGGCATGCTGGTGGCAGTGAGCCAATTATTCTCTCTCGTTGATGTTTCTCTCTCTCTCCCCCTCTCCTTTCCTCTCTGAAATCAATAAAAAAAAAAAGTGGGTGTTGATTTTAGCTGCTAAATTTATAGTGCGGAATTTGTTATGCAGCAATAGAAAACAAATACTAGTACACCTTGGTCATTTGTTTGTAGGGTGCCATAGTTTTGTGGTTGTCGTAGTTCATCACCCACTGAGTGTGCAAGCTGTGTTGCCTCAGGTGAATTACTTGCCCTTCTTGAGCCTATAAAACCTGCCTCGCTGAGTTTTCATGAAGATTAAATGGGATACACTTAAATGTTTACTGCAGACCCGGGCTCTCAGCAGGATCTTAATCAAGTGCCGCCCCCCCGCCCCTCCCCTCTCTCTCTCTCTGTGTGTATTTATTTACACCCCAATGTCCCCCTAAACACGGAACTTCCTGCATGTTGGACAGTGCTGGGGACACTGGTGCTCAGAGCATGTGCATTGAATGGACTGTATACACAAACAGTACTCATCAGATCGTCAATTTTATCAAATATTTATGTGTTGGTAAATGAACATATTAAAAAGATGTATACAAAGTAGTCTTTGTTCTCAAGCTACCCAAAAGGGTGTGGGAGTCAATTATGTAAAAAAAAGAATTGCAATACCATTGAAATGCCATTCATGCAAGTAAGTATCAAACGGCCCCTTTCCACTGGCCCAAAAGGAGTGATTTCTCAAGTGAGGGATGAAAGCAGGCACCGGACACTCTGAGATGATTAGGGGCTGGAGAGGGGCTGGAGAGGGTGGAGCACCAGTGCCTGAGTGAGGATGATAGAAGGTGGAACTCATGTAGAGGACAGACTGCATTTCATGCCAGCAGGTTTGGGCTGCTTTGTTTCTGGCTCTGAGGGGCTCCCAGAGGTGTTTTGACTGTAGAGTAACCTGATCAGATTTGTTGCCCTGAAAGGAAACACTGGCGGGGCCTGGAGGGACCACATGGAATCGAGTGCAAGAGAAGAGACTAGCAGCATGGGGTGCTAATGTAGTGATCCTCTTTAACTTTCAAAAACGAAAAGCTACGGAAGCCCTTTGTTTTTAGGTGATGCATGGTGTGGGCTAGCCAATGCTAGAGCTGGTTAGCACCCGAGGAGAGGGGGGGAAGCAGAGAAGGCGGTGGCCTGAGTCCCAAGGAATCTCTGGATTTTAGCAGAAACCAAAGGCTGGCGCAGGGAGGGGAGCGGATTCCTTTCTAGCTGGGAAACTTCCAGGTGCCCAAGATGAAGGAGGCAAAGATCCTCCGTTCTGAATTAACTCTCAGAGCTCCTTTTCTCATAGAACCAATGTTGTCGACAACGGTTAGGCTGAAGGCTGGCCTTTTTAATGACCGGCAGGCAGTGCCTGAAATCCAGTCCATTTGTAACTTTATTATTTTGTCTTCTGGCTATCTCACTGACAATCAGACTTCTGGAACATGACCTGCTGGTAAAGTGGAGACTACCTATGGGTAATAGTGTATAATATGTAACGATGTTAGTTCATCAGATATAAACGCAGAATTGTCTTGAGAATCGTCCCATCTGTGTTGCTGCAAAGAACTAGGCCAGGAGACGTCACCCAGAACACTGGCTTGGAGGCATTTCTATTTAAAAGGAATCACAGTTTTGTTTTGTTTTTTTTTTTTTTTTAATGAGAATAGAACTTTATTTGAGGCATCAAGATCTTTAAAAAATGATTTTATACTTTAAAGTATTCAATAAATGTTGATACACTAATCTTGATATATATATAGATTTACCATATTGGATTTTTAAAAACAAGGTCAAATGGCTTAGAATCAGACAAATTGTGTTTAACTTAATAATTATACGGAATAATTTTAGTATTATAAATAAAGAATGAAAACAAATAGCATTTAAATTTCAGTTAGGAGGAAATGCATTTGTAATACAATTTTATGTCGATGTTAAAATTTGATTACAGAGAAAATATAGGCTAAAATTGTGTGCTTATCATTTCTAGAAAAATATGCTTTAAGAAAATGACCCCACCTACTCTCCAGCCATAGGATGCATGAGAGATGCTGTTCTGTCTGTGCTGCCGGATACAGGTTCCTCCCAGACTGTCAGCCCACCGCTGGGAGACAGGGGGATGATGGCCTGTGGCTGGGGGCTGATGGGGTAAGTCTGGTCTTATTAACACCCTGGTCTTATTACAGGATCATCCAAATGAACATCAGTTGAACAGCGAGCTTTATATTTTCTCAAGCTCTGATATCGGCTATGGTATTTTACAGAAGTGACATTTAAGCACGCAGGTGGTAAAATTCTGTTTGAACAAAACTAGTTTTCACATTCAGTTCTACATAATGAGAACATTCCAAAATTTACTGGCCCATGTTAATTACGTTGCTGACGTGGAGACAATGGATTCTGATGGTAAGACCCATGCATTGTTAAACATATGTATGCATGTATGTGTGTATGTATTCGGTATCAGAGATGTTCCTACTTCCTTGTCTTTTAGCAGTCCGTTTATTTTTAAATAAAGAGATCCTTCTTTGGGAGTATAGTTAGTGTCCACGCCTGATTTGACAAAATCTGACGGCCGACACAAAGCATCTTCTGCTTGTAGAATACTTTACAAGACACCTCTCCGAAACAGCCATCTGACGTGGCGCTGAGGGTGGGCATGATGATTCCCATTTGACGAAACAGGGAGCCCAGAGAGGTTGAATAAGTTGCTTCAGTTTAAACAGCAGGTGAGTGATAAAATTACGGACTACACCTGCCTGCCGATCTTGCCTGAACGCTGGTTAGCTCAAGTGGAGATGAAACAGAGTGCGGTGATCTGTGAGTTCCTTCCCCGAAGCTGAGCTGTTTGGAAAGTGGTTTTGCTACTGTCACGTGCGAGATCTCTACCAGGGGCCAGCAGGTAACCATCTTATTATACCAACCAACTTAAACCAATAGCCAGAAGCACCTCTTACAACTCTCAGAGGATATGTACATATATGTATTTAAGAGGATTCATAACACTTATATGATATTTACAATGATTCCTAAATCCCCAAGATACCATATTGAGAAACAGGTTTAACTTTTCGCAAGAGCGTTTTCTATAGAATCATTCCGATAGAAACACAGTCTTGGCGTACTACGTGGCAGGCACCTTTCGCCTTGTTCTGCGCACCGCTACACTGATGGTTTAAAAATGCTTTCACACGCTGTAAGTTCCTTGTGGATGAGGGCTGAGCTAGATTTCTTGGGAGCTGACGACTCTCACCCAGGGCCTCGCACAGTACTATGTGCACAGCAGACATTTCATACATGTTTGTTGGATGGAGGTGGTTTTCAGGTACTTGAATTTGATTCAACTAGGATTCTATCTGTAACATTTTGCTAAAGAGTTTGGGAGTTATAGTAAAACATCATCACTTTCAAAGTAAACAGTATGGTTTTTAAAAAGCATAAGAAATGTGGTAATAAATTTAATACAAATTATGCATTATAGCTATTCTTTGGTTACTTTTTAACAAATTATTTGGTTTTATGACTAAAGTGACATACTAAAAATATAAAAAGGCAACTACAGGAATTAGCTTAATGTGTAAACATAATAAACCCTGTAAACATAGAGTTACTACATAATTGTGCAAGTGTAAAGAATGTCTAGTAAAGGCAAGTACTATACATTGAACTTAGCTCTTCGAGACATACTTAGAAATACTGCTTTGTGGAGCTTTAGCTTACTGTGGGAAGAAGGAATTCTTTGAACTAAACTACAACATGAGAGTGATGACTACTCCGATGAACCATAAGGATATGGAGGCAAGAGGACGGCGTTAATACTTTCCACCCTCTGCAAATCTGAATTTGCTTCACGTCTTATACACCACTTTGTTGAGCAAAACCACATATGAACAAAAACCAAATACTTTTAAAATGAAGAAGTAAACAATTTTTGTTGTTGTTATTGCCAGTGAGTCAGTTGACTAAAAATATAGTAACACACTTTCCAAGGTTGTTCCAAAAATCTGGGCAGTAAGGTGCGTTAGATAGGTCTACAGAGCAATAAATAACTGTAGGCAGCACTAAATATAGTGTAGTTTACTCAATATTTAAGTCTCCTTTTCCAAATTTGGGTTTTCCTTCTCAAAAAGCATCAAACTCTTCACACATGACACTTATCACAAATATTTCACAGTTATCATTTCAGTAGTTTAAGAAAGGACTGCCTGGCGAATACTGGAAAAGAGGTAAATGTTAAGGACACATTCACTATTTCAGGCACAAAGGACTTGGGTCCTGGAGTGTGAACTCTAAAGATAGAATGAAACAACTGTGTAAATCCAACACATTCTTTTAAAGGGGATGAAATACTGGTAAAGTCGTCACACTATTTCTTCTAATGCATTTATGTGATTTTCTCCAATATCTGGGAAGAATCAATGGCTAAGTTTTAGTAGTTCCCCGGAAAATTTTAAGTCAAGATGTTGCTTAAAAAACGTGGCAGTAAAACACCCTAGATTGTTACTTATAATCTAATCAACTCCATCAAAACCCTGAGTGTTCTCAATTGCCACCTGAAGTTTATCCCATAATTCTTCAAATGATTCATAGGGTGGCAAGTCCAGTCGATTAAAGCTGAAAAACAGAGAGGAACTGGTTATGGCAGACACTGACAAAGCGAGTATAAAAGACGTGTCATCACTGTGGGGGAATGAAGATACAGGACTGCGCTCTAGGCACGGACTCTGCCCAGGACTTCTTGGTAAAGTCCTCTCCCCGGCCCCCACCACCAAATGTCTGGGTTCCTCTGTCACTTCAACCTCCGAAAGGCAATGGTCTACCCTCTTGGCATGACCCATCATTCATGCGATGGAGGCAACACAGGGTCAACAGTTGACGTTGCATTTCCAATGTGCAGCTACCCGGACTTCAAACTCCAACCTACCTTGGGTTGGTGTAACTGTCTCCTCTTCCCCCTCCTTCTCTCTTCCCTCCCCCTCCTCCTCTCTTCCCTGCCCCTCCCCCCCCCTCCTCCTCCATAGCACAGAGGGGCCTTCTGTACCAAAAGAACTTTGCTCTCTGAGAACTTGTTCTCTCAGAGTGTAAGAATCTGCTTACCACGTATGGGCTCTTGGCAGCTTTTCAGGGGTACCCCACTGTTCAACTGTAAAAGACTGTGGTCCATTTGAGCCTATATGGAAGAAGAGTTGCTTTGGTTTCATTTACTCTTTACAGGAAACCCTAGGCAATTCACAACTCACGTTTTCTATTGTAGAACTTAAACACACAGGGAACTCATCTAGTTTTTTAAAACTCAAAAGAAATGAAGGCTGTCCTATGCTTGAAGGTTTTATTGCCCAGCCATGGAATGAGGATTCCTTTTCCACTGAATCACTCCGCCCCTGGGGTGAGATGTCCCAAGGTGCTTTTGCTGTTTCCTAGTCCCGCATTTCTTTTTTTTCTTCTTTTTAAAAAAGATTTTTAAATTGATTTTGAGAGAGAGAGGAAGGGAGAAGGAGGGGAAACACTGATGTGAGAGTGGAACATCAATCGGCTGCACCCTGCACACCCCCTATCAGGGATGGAGCCTGCAACCAGACAGGTGCCCTGACCAGGAATCAAAGAGGCACCTTTCAGTGCACAGGACGACGCCCAACCAATGGAGCCACACCGACCAGGGCACCCTGCATTTCTGTAGACCGCCTCCTTCACAGGGACACAGAGAAAATGAGCATTTTCTTTTTTTTTTAGGTGTCCCACTAGAAACAGCTTTAATTTTTCTGATTATAAAATTTACTGCAAAAATTAAATCAAGAAAAATATGATGTAAAAATCACTTCAAATTCCACTATTAAATCTGAGTAAACATCCCATCATGAATCTTTTGTGCATGTGCATATAAATAGAATGTGATTATGTTACACATGCTACATTTTCCTTCTATTATGGATATTTCTAGAAACTCTTTTTTCCTTTGGTGTTTTCACTTAGCTTCTTCCTCCTCTAATCCTGAACATCCTCCAACCACCCAGGGAATCAATGCTGACAACCCAACATGTAACCTTCCATACTTTTCTCCATCCTGTTTTCTCAAAAAGCATTACTTTTCACACATCACAATTACGTTCACAGTGAACACGTCAGTGCTTTTGTCATCACTTGTTTTCCAGAATATGAAGTCTTATCTATTTCCCAGCCTCTTGATTCTCTCACCTGAACAATCCATTGGGAAGACTCCTTCTAAGTCAATCTATATACACTCAACATACTTTTCATTGGCTAGATAATATCACATAGTAATATTAATATTTTGTAGCAACATCATCCTCTGTAAATACAAAATAACTTGAATTTATATTCTAATACATCTTGGCTCTGTGTGTGGGATATTTTCCCCAAATTCCAAAGTTTGTGAAATCAGTGGATGCCTGTAGGCCTGGATGCAGAGAAGAGGGAAGTGGAGGTAGAGATGAAAAGGGTGTTTGCCATGATTTTCTCTAGGGAATGGCTACAGCAGAGCAGGAGAGGCAGGAAAGGGAGTCAGGTGAAAACACCAGGAAGACAAATGCCAAGAAATCCAATTAGGCAGGGAATGAGCACACTGACTAGCGGCAAAGCTCCCTCTCCTTCTTCTCACTGTGGATGGTTATTCTAGAGCAGTGATGGCGAACCTTTTGAGCTCGGCGTGTCAGCATTCTGAAAAACCCTAACTTAACTCTGGTGCCGTGTCACATATAGAAATTTTTTGATATTTGCAACCATAGTAAAACAAAGACTTATATTTTTGATATTTATTTCATATATTTAAATGCCATTTAACAAAGAAAAATCAACCAAAAAAATGAGTTCGCGTGCCACCTCTGACACGCGTGTCATAGGTTCGCAATCACTGTTCTAGATCAAGCATGGCAAACTCAAAGGCCAACACGGGCCAAATAAACGAGGCATGCGGCCTGTGGGCTGTGAGTTTGACATGCTTGTTCTAAAAAAGTGGCAGCAGCTTGACAGGTTTTGCCAGCAAATATAAATGCAGTTTAACAATATCAGGTTTTCCAAGGAGGAGACAGAGGGGGTTAGCAATCCCATCAGGTCACAGGAGCTTTCTATATGCCTGGAAAGTCAGCCTAGCAACCACCTAGGCAGCAGTCCCCGACTTCCCCTTCCCTGAACAAGTCTAATCTTTGTTGCTCTGAGTGGGACTCCACTCTTGGCAATATTTTCTCTGAATGACTTGTTCTTCTTGCTTTCTTTCTTTATTTAGTGAGAGAGAGAGAGAGAGAGAGAGAGAGAGAGAGAGAGAGAGAGAGAAACACTGATTTCTTGTTCCACCTATCCACGCACTCGTTGGTTGACTCTTGCATGTGCCCTGACTGGGGATCGAACCCACAACCTTGGTGTATTGGGACGACATTCTAATCAACTGAGCTACCTGGCCAGCCTTGGTATCTTTAAAAGCAAATAAATGTAATTCCAATAAACAATATGTTAAGATATGAGACAAATTGCTGTGCTCTATATCAGAAACAGTACTTCTTTCTCCTTCTCCTTCTCCTTCTTCTTCTTCTTCTTTTTTTTTTTTTAATAACAAAACACACCTCTAGAGCTATGAGGTTAATAGACCAGAAAATAGTTTGATAGGCTCTATAGAATTTCACTTTAGCCCTGGCCAGTTTTTCTCAGTGGATAGAGCACTGGCCTGTGGACTAAAGGGTCTTGGGTTTGATTCCAGTCAAGAGCATGTACCTTGGTTACAGGCTCTATCCTCTGCCCTGGCCGGGGTGCTTGTGGGAGACAACCGATCAATGTGAGACACCGATATTTCTCTCTCTCTCTCTCCCCTCCCCCCCTTCCACTCTCTCTAAAAATCAATGGAAAAATATCCTCGGGTGAGGATTTAAAAAAAAAAAAAAGCACAGAATTTCACTTTATAGAAAACTTAATGAATAGTTATTCTGAATAGCAAGAGATAGGTGCATTCTTATCCCCAGTGTCCATATCCCACAGGGCTGAGGGATAGTAGCCGAACGAGACTCTGCACCCTCCAAATCCTGCCCCGCCCCCCCTCTGCCCCAAGGATTCCATGACCAACTACCTTTGGAAAATCTGCTTTTTTTTCCCACAGTAAAGGCTCTGAAGAAGACCCAAAGGAACCAGTTTAACTTTGTTTAGTCCAGTATTTCCCCGTATGTATTCTTCTGACACTTTTTGCTGTTTGTTGCACACTTACTAACACTCTGTGGAACTTGCCCTAAACTCACACTACAGGCAACGCTCTTTCTGTATTGGAAGGAGAAATTTAAAATTCAAGGAGGGAAAGTAACTCAAGTCATTTCATGTCCCAGTTTTCTCCTTTGCTATCTCATTAGAAGGTGTACATATATTTTGGCCTACTTGAGTGTATCTAATTAAATCATTTCAAAATCTTGTTTATTAAGCTAAACGTCTGTATGAATGACAGAGGCTTGAAGACTAATCAGCCATGACAAAGACAACTGGCACTGCCCCATTTTTAAATGCTGTATGGAAAACGCTTACCATATAGTTCGGCAAATCCATTCATAGGCACTCGAGACGTGCCAGTGACGAACTGAAGTAATCTTATTCTTTTTTCTGAATCCATCATTAAAACAGCCTGAATAACATAAAAACAGCATTTAGGACTATCATTGGGGGAAAAGGCACCAAAACTATCCTGAAAAGTATACTGTCCGAATTTAGTTAGAGCAGTACTGACCACTTAGTAAATCTGCATGTTCCTTTTAGTTAAACTTGTGTTTATGGGTCGTTTACAAAGCTTGAAAACCTTATTTCCAAGGCTTATAAGAGAGTAAACCTAATAAAGTGACAAAAATTTCTTCTCAGATGTGAGTTGTGGTTTTTAAAAAATTATACTTATTGAATGGTATACACATTTCTCCATACGACTGAAAATCACATTAAAAGGAGCCACGTAGGAGTCCTAGACAATACACTGCAGTTTGTTACAGGTTCTCTGGAAGAGTCCCTTCTTCAATAAGAAACCAAGTGCCTATATTAGCTGTCACTGCCATTTGCTTGATTCTGAACATTTTACTTACTTACTAGTACCTACTAATGTGGATGGAGGTTGGGACCATACCCAGAAGGCAGAGGTATATAGTACGAAATCAAAGATATCTTTTGCTGGCCTATATTCTGTCTTATGTATGAGAAAGTAGCTAGTATAGATAAATATGATCGAATCCATCGAAAGTAATTTATGGAAACAGAAGCTCTCGATTACCTTCCAAAACCACTGGATGACTTGATGATTGACGCTGTAGCCATTTTTGTACTTGGTGTGTTCTCTCCAGTCGTTCACATCGACATCTCCCAACCCACACATAAGAAGCTACATAATCAGAAATGTCAAACTGTTGATGAGAAAAATAACGAGCACCAAAGTTTCATTTTAACGTAAAAATGTTTCTTACCTCGAGCTCATTTTCATCGAAAATTTTGATGAGATCCTGTGGTATTAGTTCAAAAAATCCCTAGAAGAAAGAATGGATTTAAAAACCTGGTAAGCAGGGTCAATGGGCAACCCTCTACTTCAGCTCCTGGGTGCTTCTGGAGCAACCCCACATCCACACAGTTCCTACCATTACACATTCGTGCTCGTGTCTGTCTATTTCACGTTTTAGATACTCTGCTTCCTGACAGCTATGCTTTTTTGCCTGACACAGCACAAGACACATCGTCAGTGTTCAATATTGAATAAATGAAAAATTATGTGATAAATATTTAACAGAAGATTTTAAGTTAGTTTAAGAAATGAGTGCCCTGACAATAACCCAATTCTCAACTCAACCGGGATTTCAATATTGGCAAGAAGCTATGTGTCCCTAGTCTGTTCTCTTAGAGATTCCTCGAAGTGCCAATTTTAAAGCTTCCCTGTACTCCTCAAGCCCCCCTCCTCAATGTCACCTCTTCTTTACAGGAGATAATTTCTATTTGAGAGAGCCATAGAGGCAATTATGCAGGATGGAATTCACTCAACCTTCCACCTACCCATGTACAACCAGCACCAACATCCACCACGGCCTCCTTCCCACTGCGGTGGAGGGAGGTACCACTCCCTCTCTGTGCTTCACCTGCTTCCTCAAGGTCACCGCCCTAAACCTCCTTCTCTTACCAGCTTACTCTTCATGCATTTAAGTGCACTCTAGCCATATCTACGTTAAAAATAAAACCAAAGAGCAAACACCCCTTTCTTCTCTTCACAGCCAAGTTCTTGAGAGTGTTACATGTTATCAGATCTACTTGCTCACCTCCTGTCTTTCCCTCAACCCATTGCAATCTGACCTCTATGCCACTGCTTCCCCGAAGCTGTCCTGGGAAAAAGTCAAAGCAACTGTGCGGCTACATCTAGTGAGCACTGTCTAATTCCATGTCTTATTTGACTTCTCTGCAGTACATTATTGAAAACATCTTTGTTCTTAAAACTTTGCTGTTGATGGTTTTGTTCTTATGTCTCTGTCTGCCTTTGCTAATTCCTTTGAACTCTCCTTTTCTCACTGTCCATCCTTTAAAAGTTGGTGTTCCCAGGTTTCCACATGTGGCCAGCCTCTTTCGCCTTCCTGTTCTTTTGAATTTTCCATCTGATCTGGTCCACAGCTCCACTACACATTCACAGCTGATTCCCAAATCCATACTGCCACCCCAACTATCCATCCTTTAGTCACCCTATGCTGTGGATCTCCCCTCCTAAAGACCATTCAGATGCACCCATAGCACCACTTTCTTGGTTCCTAAACCATTCTTCACCCGGATTCTATAGCTCTTTCCCAACCAGACCTCTCCTCTTCTAATTCACTGCATATCATTCCCAGAATGGTCTGACTAAAGTGTACATTGCATCTTAATACCACTTCCCTTCCTCTCACTGGACTTCAGAGAAAACTAACAGGCCCTTCACAATCTGGCTTTTGGCCAGCTCTCCAGGTTTAGTTTTACCTTTTGCATCCTCTTTTCCAGGATTGGAATTGCTTGTCTGCTGTCTAATGCGTGTATAGTCAGTCTCAATTGCTGCTCTCTCAGAACTGCATTTCCCTCCTTTCTGTGTCTGGCCAATCCCTCTAGTCCTTCCCTGCCCTGCCTCCACTCCCCCCACTCTGGTCTCTCCCTCTCTTCCGGGCTTCCCTAGCACTTCAGGCTCGTGTCTGTCCATTTCAAGTTTTAGATTCTCTGCTCCCTGATAGTACGGCTTATGTCTTTTTGCCTGATGAAGCACCAGTGCTCAATATTGAATAAATGAAAAAGTATATAAAAAATATTTAACAGGAAATTTTAAGTTAGCTTAAGAAATGAATGCCCTGATAATAGCCCAAATGCCTACCAGTTGGGGGAAGTTTAAATAACTTAAGAATTAATATTATGAATAAAATGTAGCCATGAAAAATGACAGCTATATCTCTTGACATGGTAAGATCTCCAATAAATATCTGATCTGAAAGCAAGTCACAAACCAACAGGTATAGTGATCCCATTCAGGAAAAGAAACAAATGGCATATCCCACTATTCTTACAGCACTCTCCTTCCTTTGTTCACTAAGCTCACTGAAGGTGAAAGGTGTGGGACTGGGGATGGTAAGGGCAATGGGAAGGGGGACTGTCAAGGTTTATTGCATGGACCTCTTGAATGACTGAGTATTTTGTTAATATAAAAATCTAATTAAATTGGGAAGTCACATGCTAATTTTTCTTGGCTAGGAGAAGCCCCAATATTTACAGTTTATGGATTATACTTTGCAATTACAGAAGAGCAAACAAAAGAAGATGCGTACCTCTTTAAAAGCAGCCATTTGCTTCTGGATTCGATTCACAAATCGCCACTGTATTACAAGGCTAAAAGAAACAAAAAAGTCTGTCTTTTTCACACAAATCAAGAAAAAAATTCATGGTATATTTATCCTTTGTAGAAACAAACAAAAAATAAAGACTAGCTAAGCCCAAGGCAAACCCTGAATCTGAGTGGGCGATACAGCATTGTTAAAGAGAGAGAAAGCGACATTGTGACTCTAGCAAGCTACTGGGAAAGAGAGAGAACGACAAAGAGTCTTCCTGGAAAGAAGTACAAAATTATTTCCAGCAAAGTATTTACTAAGTATGGCAAAGCACTTACTAACAAAATACTTACTAAATATATTCCTTTTTGTTCTTATTGGTGACAACTATTTCTGATCCACCAACTTTCAACTCGTGCTGATGTGTCTAAAATAAAGCATGACACCCTCATATGTTAGTTTAGTGAAAAAAAATATATACATATTATAGTTATACCAGAAACCTGGTGTTTTAAATTAAATCCATTCAAAACTAAGAAAACTTAAAATATTAGTTTTACTAAAACAAATATGGAATGAGTCAAATGTCAAAGAAAGCAGAAATTCTTGCTGAGAGACAGCTTTTGTTACTGGAAAATAAATTTAAAAGTAGAGCACAGAAATGTTTTGAATATATACATTATTTAATGTTTAAACTTGTTATAACATTTGTATCATTAATTCATGTACCATTTTAATTCATCAAAGTTTACAAACCTGTCCAAAAAGTTCTTCATCTATGACAAACCTGAGGTCCAGTTCTGTTGGATCATTTTCAAGAATCCATCTTAGTGAATTGTAATATTCACTATCCTAGATGGGGAAAATTACATATTTAACATCTGTATACATATAAAAAGAAGACACTTGCACCTACAAAGGAAGTATACTGAGAGTCTGAAGGAATAATGGGACCAAAGGTGAAAAAGTCATTGGACACCTTTTCCATACATTCACATGTATTATAGACTAATGGCCCGGTGCACGAATTCATATACATTGAAAGGAAATTAATTAGAAGAAATATTTTAATATCCCACTATTCACCCTTTCTCTATAATAGAAGTGTCAACCATATTCACAACTGACAATGACAGATCGAAACGCATGCAACTGGCGCCAGTGAGAGCTTTTTATGTATCGTGCATGCGCGAGTCAACTTAGCCTTTTATAGATATAGAATAAACTTGCTTAATTAGACCTGCTTTCTGGTTTAGCTAAGCTTTTTCCAGCCAAGTGAAGCACCCCAACTTCTCTTTCAGGTAATTGTCAGCAGCATTGCAGTAAATATCAACATGAAGCAGATTATTATTGTAGATCACACAGGGAGAACAAAGGGTAAAATATTTAATTGCAACAGTGTTTGACTATATTCTGTGCAGTGAGAAAACCTGAAGTCATTTTCAAGGTCCACCATTTCTTTCTTTTCAGTCGGGTCAAGTTTCTAAGCTTTCTAAATCTCCATTTTCCAGCAAATGGAAAGAAAATAGGATTCCACCAAGTTTCCTATCTACCTACTCCAGAACTTCTGTGAGGATCAAATGAGATGAGGCATGGGAAAACGCTTCATAGACATTTGGTTAAAGTGTAAAACGTTTCCACCTGGCTATAAAGCAAGTCGTGTTCCTGGGCTGAAGAAACTGCACAGAGTCTAGTCCAGCCGTGGGCAAACTACGGCCCGCGGGCCGGATCCTGCCCGTTTGAAATGAATAAAACTAAAAAAAAAAAAAGACCGTACCCTTTTATGTAATGATGTTTACTTTGAATTTATATTAGTTCACACAAACACTCCATCCATGCTTTTGTTCCGGCCCTCCGGTCCAGTTTAAGAACCCATTGTGGCCCTCGAGTAAAAAAGTTTGCCCACCCCTGGTCTAGTCGCTAGGGAGAGGAAGCCAGGTGGTGCTACGTGGTGTCATTACCCGGACGGACACTTAGCAAATTACCCTCTTATTTATATAGGTAAAGATGGATGACTAGTACGTGTGAGAGTAAAAAATATATACATCAATAGAGTGGGGCCTGCTTAAAAGTTTAGAACTTTATCTCTGTGTGGAAGCAGTGGAGGTAAAAATTTTATTACCCAGTTAAAGGTCAATAAAGCAGCCTTCAGATGAATCATAACTTCCATGGCTACCCAGGAGCATATAGCACCTTTCTCACGTGGCCTGTGAGACTGTGTGTGTACTGTTTAAGTAGCAGTGAGGGGGCTGTTATTTATACCTGGCCCAAGCTAAAGAATAACCTCAAATACAGAACCTCAATTAACCAACTCAAGTAACTGTACAACCTCATGATTTGTAAAGAATTTTACTGTTCACACTGATATTGTGTCACAGAAAGGGGACAGAAAGTGAACGTGGTGCCGAGGAAGAGGTCTTGGAACCCATGTGCACACAGTGTTTGAGGCTACTCAGCATGGGCCATAGTGAGGGATTTAATCCTTACGTTTCTGTTTCTTTGTAGAGGCCTAATCTCAAGGTCTTGCCTTTGAAATGATATTTTGAAAACATATGCCATTCATGATAAATGATCACAATTCAAATGTTGATGCGAGAAATACATTAAAATGTTGTTCAGCATATTGAAGTATTTAAGGAGAAGTTTACTGATATCTGCAACTTTCTTTGAAATGTATCAGAAAAACAAAATGGATTGATGGATAGAGGGGTGAATAGGTATGTGATAAGTAAGTAGAGACAAAAAGCCAGTAGTGGAATCAGGGTAGTGGCTACACACATGTCCACTGTAAAATCTTTTTATCTTATTATATGTTAGAAGTTTTTCATAATAAAACATTGGGAGAAATGTTCATTTATATTTTGGAACATTATAATCTATTAATTTCTTCATCTTTAAAAGCTAACTCTTTAAAATATTCAGTTGCCTGTTAAATTATTCTCTCTATATATTGTAAGTGAAAATGACATACCACTGATTCCATATCATGAAGTGTTATTGGTTTGTGTAGCATCATCTTGTAAAATGGGCGGATGAAAAAACCTTGCAAGAAAGCAAATATTTTTAAAATGATTACCAAGTGAAAGAAATCAGATCATCACATTATAATTACATTATAATATAATAATTATAATTACACATAAGAAAGTTTTAAGCTGAATACGAACCATCCAACAGTTTGCCATGATAAACTGCCATTCCAGCTACCCGGCCAATAAACTTGAAGTAGGAGAGGTGATCTTCATTACACAATCCAGAATTTGGATTTATCTGCAGGGTATAATTATCCCTGCAAAGACAACCACATTTAAATGCTCCTCTCTGTATTTCACATAAAAATTTAAATATGACCGATAATTATAAATTATCACTCTCTTTTTAGAGTTGTTTACCTCTTTTAGAACCATATTAAACCTCTGGATTTAATGGTTTTCAAAACGGTAATTTCTGTCAAAAGGGAGCAATAACCCAAATGTTCATTGAAAGATAAATGGAGAAACAAAATGTGGTATCTATATATATAAAAGCCTAATATGCAAAGTGTCCCCTCTGGGACCAGCAGGGGGTGGCGCGGAATGAAGGAAGGCCCTGGCTGGCAGCCAGCAGCTGCTAGCGACCTTTCCCATGCACAAATTTCGTTCACTGGGCCTCTATATAGCATAATGGGATATTATTTAGCCTTCAAAAGGAAGGACATTCTGACACATTCTACAATACAGATGAACTTTGAGGACATTATGCTAATGAATTAAGTCAGTCACAAAAAGCCAATGCTGTATGATTCCACATATACGCGGTGCCTACAGGTGACACATTCGCAGAGACAGAACGTAGTAAAGTGGAGGCTGCCAGGGCCTGGGAGGGTTAGCGTTGAATGGGTATGGAGTTTCAGTTTGGGATGATGGCAAAGTTCTAGAGATGGATGGTGCTGATGCTCGCACAACGATGTGAGAGTACTTAATGCCATGAACTGTACACTCACTTTAAAATGGTTAAAATGGTAAATTTTATGTTAAGTGTATTTTGCCACAATTTAAAAGGTTATTTTTGAAACAACATTAGTGCTCCTCTTCCTTCTGTGTGGCACAGTGAACCACACAGGTTCCTTGCACCATACACCTCTGGCACTTTTAGGACAGTGATGTCTCTGTCTGTATACGGTCACTGTAAAGGTGCTTACGTAGCAGAATATTCAAACAACCCGTAATAAGGGTTAAACATTTCCTTCGAGATCAGGAAGAACCACTCTCTGGCGACTCCTCCGTAATCTAATCCTTTTTCGCCGTCAAACTCAATCCAGAGTCGAGCCTTGAGGAAGTCCGCTCTCTTGACACCCATAATCCGCCTGTAAGAGTCCTCGAGGACAGTTGCCCGGCGAAGTTTCATTTCTAACTTGTTTGGAATGTCATTCTGAAAGCCCAGAGAAGAGAGGCTTCTGGTTTAAATCAATTCAACACAACGGCAAATTTCTCTCTCAGGAAGCTTCACAATTCACTGTATTCTACCTTGTGCCAAGACCCCTTTTCAGGGAAAGCATGACTAGGGATGTTTCCTCTAGGGCAGTGGTTCTCAACCTTCCTGATGCCGCGACCCTTTAATACAGTTCCTCATGCTGTGGTCACCCCCAACCATAAAATTATTTTTGTTGGTACTTCCTAACTGTGATTTTGCTACTGTTATGAATCGTAATGTAAATATCCGATAGGCAGGATGCATTTTCATTGTTCGCGACCCACAGGTTGAGAACCGCTGGTATGATAGCATTCATGCGTTTTCTCTAATCGCGTAATAACACAGACTTCTGATTTTTATATCTGAAGAAGCAGCTACCGATGGTGGCAGTAACGCTCAGGCAAAGGTGTTTCAGGGATAGTCCTTTGCATATTAAGTTCCCATGAAGACCTACCTGTCACCTACAATGTAGCTGCTGCCTGCTACTTGTTGCCTGCCTGTCAGGTCAGGGATTTTCCCTGCTTCCCCCATTCCTCCTTGGAGTCTGTCTCATTCACTCTTTAATAGGTATTAATATTTCCAGGCTGTGAGAGGCACTGCTCCCCACATTTTAATGGGTTAATGCGACTACGCCCCATAACAGCACTATGAAGAAGCTACTATTACATCTCCATCTTATGGATGAAGAAACTGAAGACAGAAGTTAAGAAAGGCGTAGCTCTTGGGTCTCAGCTCTTAAAGAATGTGCTACATTCATTGTTAAGGATAAGGCAGAGGTCAAGCTTAAAGGTAGCTCAAGGCTTTGTAGCGCTGGTTTTTAATTTTTCACCTCTGTCTTGGTGTCTGCTCTTTTGGAGTGATGTGTCCAGATAGGGATTTCATTATTTAAATCATGCTGGTGATTTTTTGTTAAACGGAGGGGGGTGGAGGGAGGCAGATTCTTCGCCTCCTGTGCCATACTTCGGGAATGACACCTTGTTTCTTACCGTTCACTCATGCTTTTAACTCTTAATATACCTTTGTTGCAATGTGGATAATTTCCTCACAGATTTTCTCTCTTAATCACCAATATATGTCATGATGGCTGAGAACATGGACTCTGCAGCTTTGCCACTAACAACCATGGAACTTGATCACATTATCTAATCTCTCGGTGCCTCAGTTTCCTCACCTATAAAATGTGATAACAGTCCCACCCCTGGCATATAAAGAGCTTCCCAGACCAGAAACATTTAAAGGAGTTCATCACCACCAAACCAGTACTACATGAAATGTTAAAGGGTCTTTTAGAAGGAGGAGGAGGAGGAGGAGGAGGAAGAGGAGAAAATATGAACAATAAAATGGCAATAAATACATACCTATCAACAACTGAATCTAAAAGCAAAATAGATGAACAAGCAGAATAGAAACAGACTCAGAACAGAGAATGGGAGGGACCAGATGGGAGGGACGTTGGGGGAATGGGTAGAAAAGGTGAAGGGTATAAATTAAGAAGTATAAATTGGTAGTTACAGAACAGTTATGAGGATATAAAGTAAAGCATAGAGAATATAGTCAATGATATTCTAATAACTATGTATGGTGTCAAATGAGTACAAGATTTATTAGAATAATCACTTAGTAAGTTACATAATGTCTACTTACTGGGGTATACATCTAAAACAAATATAATATTGTACGGCAATTTTAATTGAAATATAAAAAATTCTATTAAAAAAAACTTTCCCCAGAAATATTCAAATTTAACTGATATCCTGGGCCAATTTTAAAAGTGATGTTTTTCTAGGAATTTGTCTAAATTTATTATTTCAAATGTGTCTTCAAATCTAAAAGTTTATAGTAGTTTTTAATTTTCTCTTATATGTTAATTGTGATGTAAATGTCATTTCAGTCCTCTTACACTTATAAGAGTTGCTTGTGTTTTGTGTGTTTTTTTCTTTAGGAGATGTCTATTATTCCTCACAAAGTAATTTAAAACAGATTTAATTTCACAATTTTAAAAATCACTTCTTTCATTTATTGTTGCTTTTTTTAAACTTTAAATGATTTAAGTATATTCTGCTTTTTTATTCTAATTTATAAATTTGATATTGAACCCATTACTGTTACCCTTTCTTAGGCAGAGTAGAAGGCTATAAATATCCATGAATGTGTTTTCAGTTAATTCTATACCCATTGTTATTTAGTTGCATGGATTTTCAAACCCCATTATGATTTAATTATCTCATGCATTATTAAAAGTACTTTTATTCATTTCAAAAAGTCCCTTCCTTATTGTAGAGATTATATGAATAATACATTTAACTTGCTAAGAAGACTGCCCAGTATATAGTGAGAGCTCAATAAGTATTACTGCTTTCATTGTAAGTTCTGTGTTCTGTGACCTGTTTATAAAGGCCTTGTTCCATATTTCCTGCTGCCTGGAAGACATAAACAATTAGATATCGTAACATGTTTATAAGTGTTCAGTGTGACAAAAGGAGAAGTTAGTCCTCCTATTTCACCAGCAATTTTTCATTAAGACTGAAAATATTTACCAGGCAAATAAACCAACAAAAATTTAAAATCCCAAAGAATTTTAAGAAGTAGAAAACAAATTTCTAAAGCAATTTTAACCATTTTTATTGAAGATGAGTTTTAAAAGTTGCTATATATTAGGATTTTATTTAGGCATACAATAGTTCACTAAACACCTATTATATTTCATTTTTGTTAAATGTTGGATCTTGAATGTGCAAAAGCAGGCATCTGGCTTAGAATGCAAGAAAATGTAACCCAATATAGCCACCTACTGGTAGTATTCCTAAACTGCAGGGGAAGGGGAAAAGGTGAGCAAATTCAAAAAGGTATTGAAAATATGGTCATTACCAAACAGAAATGAAATAGATGGGTAGATAATGAGTTTAATCCCAAACATATTAAATTTTTAATGATGGAAAGAAGTGCAGTGAACAGATGTGATAAGTACAAGGAGACAAGCAACTGTTGGAGCACTGTTCCAACCACAGCCGCACTTTCAAATTATACTGTTTGTTATAACTGAAACTGTAGAGAATGAATGACGATCACTGGAAAACAATGGTCAAAGCAGGAAAGGAATCCAGAGAGTCCGACACAGTCAAAGACCAGAGAGATAATCTCCGCAGCTACTCTTGCTCAGATTCTACCAAGCCCAAGCCCCACAAACCCCACCAGGAAACTACATTATAGTTCTTTAAAAGCAAACTTTTAATATTACTTTTCTAGATTACAGGATATCTTGAAAAATAAAGACATAAAATAATTGTGGTCTCTAAAGGTATATAAAAAAAATAAGCATCCTTTCCCTATAGGAAACTATTTAAAGTTGTTACAAATATAGAACAAATCCTCTTACTATTTTCTCCCCCCCCTTTTTTTTGTATCTCCTTCATCCATTTAAAAAGGCATTTCCCATTACCTGTAGTGTACATAACATTCATTCTTAAAAACTCATTATAAGTATCACTAACCTGCTTCTTCAACTTTCTTCGGAAGAACTCATACTTTCTTTTGTAATCCCTGGAGTAGGGCACTGCCTTGAGTTGAAATTTTTGGAAAAATAAAGAAGGTTTAGGTTGTTTTATTTTGGAACAGTTTTAAAAGTTCCCCTCTGCGTATTTTATGTACATAAGTTAAAGGCATTAAAAGAGAATATTTGGAAAGGAAAGTTTAATTTAAAGAAAAACAAATACAAAACTTAAAACTTTTTAAATTTCTCTGTTTAAGATAAAATTATATTCAGCAATTCCTATGGCTGTAATTTTCATCATTCAGTATTCTTAAAATGCAACATGCCAGAAACAGGAAATTTCTTCCAAGAAGAGAAATATTAGAAATGAAAATTTCCATTTCTAAAAAGACTTTCAAAGTGATTTCTCCATTAAGGGAACAATTTGAAAAATGTACTTTTTCCTTGAACGTTGTGGAGTTGCCTTTTTTATCCATTATTTTAAACGACCAAACATGGAGAATAAAAAATAATCTAAAAAAACTGTATCTTTAATTTTACTTATTTTTGTGAATTAAAAACAATTAAAATCTGAATAACTAAAAAATGGAAAATTTACTATATAAAAGAGAATAATAATTTTCCTATTATTTACCCGACTCAAGAGTAGTATAAAAATCTTACATGGCAATATTTAAATATGAGTGTGTCATATATCTATATCTATATCTATCTATATCTATATATCTATATCTCTTATATCTATAATAATTTCTACCAAAAAGTTCAAGATGCAGCCCCAGAGTGGATAGGGCCCTATCTACTTCCTCACCTGTACACTCTAGACTCCTCTCAGCTCTGCTGTGGCCTGACATTCTTTTTCAGACAGTGGCAAGTATGAGCCTGAGCACAGCGGCCCACTGCCTTAGCATTTTGACTGTCTGGCTTACTATTCTCCCAAAGCTATTGTGCAGGAGAAGGATATAATCTTATATGCTTTTTTGAAATATCTGAGACCTAGAGTCGGAGTGGTGACAGAGGAGAGAAAGGCAAATATGCTTTCCTCCCAATGCCTGAAGGGTTAAGCACTTAACCATTCATCCTTAAAGAGATAGGTGAGAGGACAATCCCAGCAGGACATACTGATACGAAGAGACTTACTGGTCCAGTTATTGCTACATTCTGCAACCGAGGATCTTCCCATTGGGTTCTTTTTATATCTGAAGAGAGAGAGAAAAAAGATATTCTTCATTCTTATGCACAAAATTCAACATTATGAAATAATGTAATGAAAAACCACACTGCACATACTGTGATTTATGTAGAAGATTCTTCCATCTGTGTGGGTTCTTTCTTCCCATCCTGGCTATAATGAAGAATGTATTTCAATTATTTTACAAAAAGGGTTTTAGATGTATGGGTAGAAAAATACCATTGGCTATATGATTAATTTAATTTGCATATTTCATCCTTAGTAGAAGACATCAACACTTTAATTATATTACTTATAGCTGTTAAAGAACTACTAATGTAGTCCCAAATACAAAATGTTTAATGCAGCCAAGTAGATTGGGAGCAGCTCTATAAACTTACAGGTAAAGGTCCAAGGTCATTGGAAGAATCTAGTGATGTCTTTCCTCTCAGATGAGCTGGAATTTTCAGTCTTGGATCTTCCTTTTTTGGTAGAATAAATGAAGAAAACAGTATAATTTTAAAATCATGAAAGTCAATCTGATACTATGTTTTCTAATACCAATAAATATTTAAATTATTCTCTTTTAAAAAATATATTTTTATTGATTTCAGAGAGGAAGGGAGAGGGAGAGAGAGATAGAAACATCAATGATGAAAGAATCATTGATCAGCTGCCTCCACCCACACATGGTTCCGGACCAGGAATTGAAACCGTGACCTCCTGATAAGCTGACGCCATCCAGGCTTAAACCATTCTTTTATTTCATTTGCTTAATCTGAGAAATAATAGTTTCTCCATGTAAGATCTAGTATCATTTTCAGGCTAGAGTATTCACTTCTCAGATTTCAGAGTAGGATCTGTGTTAACTCATCATCTCTCACAGAAACCGTTCAGAGTATTTTGCCCCATTCCTTACGGCAGTGATGGCGAACCTATGACACGCGTGTCAGAGGTGACACGCGAACTCATTTTTTTGGTTGATTTTTCTTTGTTAAATGGCATTTAAATATATAAAATAAATATCAAAAATATACATCTTTGTTTTATTATGGTTGCAAATATCAAAAAATTTCTATATGTGACACAGCACCAGAGTCAATGTCAGAAAATAACTAGAACATGCCAGCAGCATCCAAAGTTAGGGTTTTTCAAAATGCTGACACGCCGAGCTCAAAAGGTTCGCCATCACTGCCTTAGGGCTACATAAGACTAAACAAAATTGGGTGAAAGAGTGGGACAGTGAACTGGACTACTTGTTTCTGAAGCCCTGAACATGCTTTTTTGGACCTGTTAACATGTTGATTTATTAATATTTTTGAAAGGTAAGGTGGCAAGCTAAAATAGATTATTAAAATCAACCAAATTGTTGAAAAAGAGAACTTCAATTTATTTGAATTATTATTTTAATATTTCATTAAATAATTTATTCAATTATTTTAGGTTTTTTAGGTACACTGGTCTTTAAAATAAATTAATTAATCAAACCTATTTATTTTGCTGCTAATTTTCAGTAATTTTCCTATTAGTGGTGAACCAATGGCAAAAATAACTTTGAGCCCTTGTCTTAAGATAAAAATACTTATTCTACTTAGCCTTACAAGTTGTTATTTTTTAAATATTAAATGAGGTATGGATTCAAAAGTACTTTGGAGCTACGAAGATATTACTAAGTATCTTCCCATGTATTTATGACTAGTGAGTTTAAAATTGGATATAGGAAGTAAATGTATCTACAGGACAATACCCCCAAATACTAAAAGTGGTCATAAACATATCTTGAATAGACATAATACTACTATGATTTCAACATATCTTTAAATGAATACTAGAAAATGAAGGTGACATTAATGTACACTTAAAAAGATTACAAGGAACTATATATAAGCGATTACTATTGTTGTTATAAATTTAAATTGGAGAGTATTGAAGTTACCCAGGTGGTGGTTTTGGTGTTGTGGTCAATAAAGAAAGGCCTCCCGTTTGGTGCATGCCGGACTTCCCAGCCTTTGGGAAGGAACCCTTGCTCCATTTCAGCCGGCTGAGTCACCTGCTGCGCCGAATCACTTGTGGGGACCTGTGGTTGAGGGCTTGCAGAAAAACTCTGGCTCGCTGGCAGCTGACTGGTCTCCACTGTGGCCTAGCACATTAATTAAATCACGGTAAAATGTTTTATAGAGTTTACACAAATAGCTGTGGTTAAATAGGTAACAACCTGCAGGCAGAATATACACGTATAAATAAGCCTAAACATTGGAGACTCATTTTTAAAATAAAGTGTTCTGTTAAACTTTGTTGTTGTTTTTTAAAAATAATTTATCATTTCTCAGCTAATCCTTGAGCTGTAAGATGCTGGTTGACAAAGTTGTTGCTGCTGCACGTGACTAAGGAAGCTGTGCCCTAGCTGCAAGAGAAGCCACAGTGCCACTGCCGGAGGTTGTCTCTGCTCACCCAAAGACTCAGGGGTGGGGAATTCTATAAATATAGAGGTGGGTTCCAATGCTGGATAGACAAAACTGAACGGCAAATATCCACTACAGAAATGGCTAATTAGAATATAGTCATCTGATGAAATATTAGGCAGTAGTTAAAAGAAATACACTGGATCGCTATTAAAAAAAAAAAAAAGGATGGGGTTTTAAAACAATGTTGAGCAAAAAAAAAAAAAGATTCAGAATTATACAACACAACATCTTTGCAAAATTTGAAACATATGGACATAAACAATATTTTGCATTGTTTAACTCTGTTTGTAAGTATATAAAATAGGGTAGAATACACAACAAATTCAAAAAGGTGGTTCTCTCTGGGGAGTGGGACCAAGTGTTTGGCTAAAAGAAATGTTCTCTTATCTGTAAAATTTTATTTTAAAAAATAAAAAGTCTATAAATGAATATAGTAATTTGTTAATGGTGGTAAATACTGGGTGTAAAGAAAAAGGTATCTGTTATGTTATTCTCAATAAGAGAAATGATATTAAGATAAAATAAATATTTCCCTAAACACTTACAAAAGCACTCACTGTTGTCAAGGACAATGTGTTATCAACACAAATTTCTTTAATAGACACAAATTACTAAGATTATCTTTTAGCTAAATAAAGGTCTTAACCATTCAAATTACAAAATTACCCAATGGACTAGATCATTTACTTTGTCCTCTTATTCCCAACTGGACTTGTTTTACGTAATGACAAGTGGTAATTCATGCACATCAGAGACCCACAGGAAATAGTAGAAACTTAGCACCAATGTCAGAAAATAACTAGAACATGCCAGCAGCATCCAATATATACCACAAAGTGAGGTAATAGAAATATGATGGCTTCATTTATGTAAGAAAACAAGTTAAGGGATAGATTTGAGGGTACCTGTACAGTGGGCTTTGTCCACGTAGTGGTTCTGGAATTGTGATCTACATAATAAGATCTTCCTCTTTCATCTTGTTTTTCTTCCCAACCTGGTGGTAATCCAGATGAAGTAGGCAAAAGCTAACATGAAGAATAATGAGAGAATTAAATATTACTAAGAAAAAATGCTTTTAAAAAGACCATATCCCTTTGTCACTGCTAGCTCTCTTTAAAACGAAACATGTTTTAAATAATACTTTGAAGTGGACACAGTAAATTATATAACAGTTCATTTAAACAAAACAGTAGACAATAAAGATGAGGGTATTAACACTAAGAAAACATGACAGTAGAAAAATCTGGTCCAATATGGCAGAATGGATGGAAACTGTGCCTTCTTCACCTCTTCCCATGACCACATAAACATTACAAGTAAATTACTGAACAATCAACCTGAATAACCAGAATATCCATCTGAAGACTAGCTGAATAGACGTCTTGTAATTAAGGATTTACAGAAGAAGCCACATGAGACTGGTAGGAGGGGTGGAGATGCAAAAAAGGCTGGCCCTGCATCCACATGCAGTGGTTGAGAATCTGGAGGGATATCTCATCTGTAGAGGTCCATCCGGGGAGCCAGGGGTCTCAATCCCACGCTGAGCTCCCCAGCCCAGAACAAAAGTGCTGGGAAGAAGAGCCCACATAACATCTGGCTGTGAAAAATCTATGGGGATTCCTACCCAGGAAGATGGATGGCTGCTGGAAGCTGAGGCAAACTCCTAAAGGGCTTGCACACAAACTCTTGTTCCCAGGCACTCACCCGGAGCTCCAGCAGAGGGATAGTAGGCTAAAAGGTACCTGAGTCATACAGGGAGAAACTGACTTGTGTGGTTTTGGAGAGAGGGCTGGAGGGACAGTCACCAATGACCCTGTGTTGAGTCCCTCTCCCACACTGCACACAGATGCCGTCTTTCCTGGGTCAAGCACTTCCCCCTCAGGGCATTAGCCTAGTGAGCTATGCTAGTCCCACCCTGACGGCTCCCAGAGGCCTTGCGCTAGCTACTCAACTTGGTCAGAGTTGTAGGTTCTGCCAGGGGCAATCAACCGGGGCCCACATTGCAGTCTTTCTTAAAAAACACTTGAGGAATTCTGGGTGCCAGAGACGCACAGAGAGAAACTGAGTTGTGTGACTTCAGAGTAAGGGCTGTCTTCCTTCATGCTCGACATGTGCCACCTGTCCTGTGTTGATCCCTCCCTCTTAATCTGCTTTAACCTGATGAACTCTACTGGCTCCACCCTGATGACTCCCTGACACCCCATCCCACCGCAAAGGTACACAGGCTCTAGGCAGGTGGCAGCTGGTCTTTGGTATACCGAGACTTTTGCTGAATGGCTTTAGATCCAGAACTGGTGCCAAGTTGAATCTGTATTAATTTGGTGAACACCACTTGCCCTTACCTGGTGATTCCCTGTGAACCCAACACATGCAACTAGAGTACTGCCCAAGGCTCTTTCAGTGGCTGAGCAGAACGGGCAGCTGGCAGGCAGTGGCAGGTCTCAGGGTGGCTTGGGCCTTTTGCTGATCTGCCCCAGGCCTTGTACTTATGGCATCTGGTCTTGGTACAAAGCTTGGCCCCTCCTACCCTCACCAAGGCCCAGCAAGGGAGCTACCAACTGTGGATTGCTTTGTAGCTCCTAACATATATATAGCCCAGAGCTGGTCACAGGCAGCGTATAACATTGACCTGCACCAGAGTCTCTTCCAATAGGCCCCAGAACCAACATACATGGTGGCAGTCTTCAAACCACAATAGAGCATGACCCGATTAGCTCCAAAAGTGATACACCCAAAGGAAGGTCCCAGAAAACACCAGACCCTGTGGGGAAAATTCTGTTTCATGGGGTCAGCCCCATGGAGCAGCTCAGACACGGACTGTGACCAATCCTCATAACCAGCCAGTGGAGGGTCAGTCCCATTGATAGATATGCCAACAGCAATCAAAGCTCATCTACAAAAGGAAGGCATACATAACCTACACAAGGTATGCGCCTGGAGCATCAGGTGATCAGGGCGTCTGTGCCTCTGAGTCGCTCAGGATACTTACACTACATATAAGGCCACCCTACTAAGACTGGGAGACACAGCAGATCTATCTAATACACAGAAAGGCAGCCAAATGGGAGACAAAGAAAATGCCCTAAACAAACAAAAAAACAAACAGTATAAATCTTCAGAAAAGAAGCTAAAAGACATAAGGGCAAGCAATCTATCAGATACAGAGTTCAATAAAATGGTTATAAGGGTGCTCAAGGAACTTAGTGAGAACTTCACCAGAGAGCAAGCATTAAAAAAGACAGAGAAACTAGTCAGAAATGAAGGACACAATATCTGTAATGAAGAATACACTAGAAGGAATCAACAGAAGATTAAATGAAGTAGAAAACTGAATCAAGGTAGGCAAGGTAGGAAAAAACACTCAACCAGAGCAACAAAAATAAAAAAAATAATTTTTAAAAATGAGGATAGTTTAAGGGACCTTTGGGACAACATGAAGCATAACAACATCCACATTATAGGGGTCCCAAAAGGAGAAGAGAGAGTAAGGGATCGGGAACCTATTAGAAAAAATAATAACAGAAAACTTCCCAACCCTGGTGAAGGAAAAAGATACACAAGTCCAGGAAGCACAGAACCCCAAACAAGATGAACCCAAAGAGGCCCACACCAAGACACATCATAATTAAAATGCAAAAGGTTAACAACAAAGAGAGAATGTTAAAAGCAACAAGAGAAAAGCAATTAGTTGCCTACAAGGGAGCTCCCATAAGACTGTCAGCTTATTTCTCTACAGTAACTTTGCAGGTCAGAGGGACTGGCATGAAATACTCAAAATCGTTATATACAAGGACCTACAACCAAGACTACTCTACCCAGAGGCTATCATTTAAAATTCAAGGAGAACTAAAGAGCTTCCCAGATTTAAAAAAAAAAAAAAAAAAAAAAAAAACAAGCTAAAAGAGTTCATCACCATCAAACCATTATTACAAGAAATGTTAAAGAAGAAGAAGGACACTCCCCCATAAATATGAATGATAAAATGTCAATAACTAAGTCCCTTTCAATAATCACTTTAAATGTAAATGGCATAAATGCTCCAATCAAAAGATATAGGGTAGCTGAATGATTAAGAAAACAAGACCAGCTCTAGCTGGTTTGGCTCAGCAGATTGAGCTGCGGCCTGAGTACTGAAAGATTCCAGGTTTGATTCTGGTCAAGGGCACATGCCCCAGTTGCGGGCTCAATCCCCAGTAGGGGGCATGCAGGTGGCAACGAATCAATGATTCTCTCTCATCATTGATGTTTCTATCTCTTTCTTCCTCTTTCTTCCTCTCTAAAATCATTAAAAACATATTTATTTTAAAAAACAACAACAACAAGACCCATATATATGCTATCTGCAAGAGACTCACTTTCACCTGGCTGGTGTGGCTCAGTGGTTGAGCATCAACCTATGAACTAGGAGGTTGTGGTTTGATTCCTGGTCAGGGCACATGCGTGGGTTGCAGGCTCAATCCCCAGTGGGGGGCGTACAGGAGGCAGCCAATTGGTGATTCTCTCTCATCATTGATGTTTCTCTCTCTCCTTCTCCCTTCCTCTCTGAAATTGATAAAAATATCTATTAAAAAAATGAGACTCACTTCAGGTAGAAAGATACACAGAGATTGAAAATAAAGGGATAGAAAAAGATATTTCAAGCAAATGGAAACAAAAAGAGAGCTGGGGTAGCAATATTTCTATCAGACAAAATAGACTTTAAAATAAAGGCTATAATAACAGACAAAGAAGGACATTGCATAATAAGAAAGGACTCAATCCAACAAGAGAATATAACCCTTGAAAACATTTATGTGCCCAACATAGTATCACCTAAATATATAAAGCAAATACTGATGGACATAAAGAGAAAAATCAACAGTAAGAGGGGACTTTAACACCCCATTGATATCAATGGATAGATCTTCCAGACAGAAAATAAACAAGAGAACAGCTTTCAATGACACAGTAAACCAGATGAGTTAAACTGATAGCTTCATAGCATTTACCCCAAAGCAGCAGAATATGTGCTTTGTCCTGACATGACACTTCATGTGTGGGGCAGAATGGCTGCTATATGCCACGGGCCATGTACAGAGCCAAGGCAGCTGGACACCATCATCCTGAACCATGTGCTCCCTGCGGCAGACCCCCTCCAGCCAGGACAGCCCTTCAGACAAGCCGATGTCACCCACAGTCAGAGATGGGCTTTCTTACTATGCGGGAGGCAGTTCTTCAGTTTCGTTCTTAAAGAAACTACCTACTCGATTTCCCTCCCCTGCACCTCCTATCCCAGAGCCTAGATCCTGGGCTGGATCAGAATTCCGCAAGGCCAGTGGTTCTCAACCTTCCTAATGCTGAGACCCTTTAATACAGTTCCTCATGTTGTGGTGACCCCCAACCATAAAATTATTTCGTTGCTACTTCATAACTGTAATGTTGCTACTGTTATGAATTGTAATGTAAATATCTGATATGCAGGGTATATTTTCATTGTTACAAATTGAACATAATTAAAGCATAGTGATTAATCACAAAAACAATATATAATTATATATGTGTTTTCCAATGGTCTTAGGCGACCCCTGTGAAAGGGTCGTTTGACCCCCAAAGGGGTCGCGACCCACAGGTTGAGAACCGCTGTGCTAGGCAGTCAAAGATCATACTCAGTGTTAAAAAAAAAAAAAAAAGAAGAAGAAGAAGAAAAGGTTGCTGAGTTTTAATATTCATGGATGACGGGGGGAGGGGTAGGGGGGCAGAGGATGAAACTCACCACAGGAAGTGCAGGCTGTTCCTCAAAAGTGTAGGCTTGTAAGCTGCCTCTTCTGCTGGAATGATTCTTATAAAAAGAAGAATGGTAATAATTTTAGATCTTGGATTTGTCTTTGATAGGCTGATAACATCATGGGGGTGGTACGAGGGGGTAGAAGAAAGAACACTGGCTAGGAAGCGATGTGGAGACTGGGTGACAGCACCCAGGGCTCTCAGCACCACCCACGTGCTAATGCCTTCAGCTTCTAGACACCTCTCCCCCACTCTAGACTGCCTCCTGGTCACGTTCCCTTGAATGTCAGACACCCTTCACTGTGCCCCAAAGTGGATTCGGTTTTTCCCTGTTCACAGCCACTCAAACCCTCACCTCACTTCAGAGGGCAGTACATGAGGCCAGCAGCTGCCCAAGTCAGATGTCAGTCAGACCCCAAACTCCTCCACTCCTGTCCCTCACAGCCCGGTCAGTCACCAGATCCTGTTCATTCTGTTTCTTGACTAGCTCACAAATACACTCCCTCTCCACTTTAGCTCAAGTTTGTTGGTTTTAAAATGTTAAGTGTTCCTCATTTGTCACCTTGGTTATTACTGCAGCAACATCCTAATAGATTTCACGATCCTGACGTCAAGTCTGATTTCCTTGAATCTACATCCCATAGGGCGTGCTGCAGCCAGCGACCGCTGCATAGCGTGAGCCAGCACCCTGGTTCTCTAGCTTGGAGACCTGCAGTGATTTATACCCTCACTAGGATAAAATCCACAGCCCAGAACACAGTGCTGAGTGAGCTTCCTGACCTGGCTCTTCTCTTTGGCTCCAGAACCTCCCACCTCACAAACAAGACTGCCTGTTTCCCGGAAATCCCATATACTCTCTTTCCTTGGGTTTCCATTCGCATGTTGTTGTCACTATCTAAAATATCTTAGTTTTGTTATTTAATGACGTCAAAATTTATAATACACGTATAAATTAACTCAGAATAGCCACTGTACCATTGTTTATAATAACAAAGGACTATAAACAATCTAACATCTATCAACAGGAGATGGTATGATACCTTAAGGTTTATTTGCACATTACATATGGCAGAGTTTGATAATTTTTGTTGTTGGTTTTGAGAGGAATAAGTTTATATTTACTGAAATGGTCCCATGGTCTATGATATAGCAAGTGAAAAAACTAAGTTACCAAAAAGTGTGTATGAGATGATCTCAGGTTAAAAAAAATTATACAGAAATATATGTGTGCTCACTCATGTTTATAAATATAGAGAAAATGTTCAGGACAATAATGGTATATGCCAAACCATTAATAGCAATTGAGGAAGCATGTGTTAGAGGTAATATGGAAGATTTAACTTTTGTTTTATATACCTCATTACTGTTTTAATTGTTCACCATGACCATGCAACACTTTTAAAAGAATTGTTTTTCTGAATAAGCAACACATGCGTACGTATGCTGTAAAACTCAAAAGGTACCAAAGACACATGTCCTGCTGACTTGTTCCTCCCTTCAGAGCTGAGCAATGTTACCAGTTTCCTTTTTAGTCTTCAAGAAATCTCATACACATATTTATTCTCTGTCAATAAAGTAATTTACATAAAGCATAGTACATCAAGCACACTGTTCTGTACCTTGCTGGTTTGCACTGAATAATAGCTTAGAGATTGTTCCACACAATACATACATTCAAAGCCATCTCATTCTTTTCAGTGTCTGCATAGTATTTCATTGTATGGATACCATATATTACTTTTAAAATAATAATAAAAAATAACAGGAGAAAATGGAATAGAATCTTGTGTGATTTATCGCCAGTAAATCAAAATAGCTTATTCTTTAAGTCTTTGACTGACCTTTCCCACACCCCTGACAAAAAAGAAAAGAAAATGGAAGACAGACTAGACATGTGGCAGAAAGGAGGGAAAGAGAGCAGCAGGCTCTATTATAACTATTCACAGAGAACTGTCTACATTGAAGTTTTCTGAGGAAAGTGCTGAAACAGAAATCAGCAAACTTCTGTTATCTTTTTGTCTCTATTATAACTACTCAACTCTATCAATGTAGTGTAAAAGCAGCCATAGGCACCACTTAAACATATGGGTATGGCTCTATTTCAATAATACTTGAGCATATTGTGCCTTGCTTATTGTCGGCCCTCAATAAATATTTACTAATTGAATGAAAAGCAGGGAACTCCAACTAGAAATGACCATAGCATCCTCAGAGAATGATCTTTGTCTTTCACTGAAAGAACTCCCTTGATGATACAGATGAGAGAGCTAGCCATAAAGATCGCATTATGGCAGTGCATGTTGGAATCTTTGCTTCTGGACCCTACACACAGCAATTTCTATAGCAGTTGCTGAAGTGAGAGTGCCATCTATCTCCTTGTTTAGTCTAAGTACATCAGCACTTATTCACACATGTGCGTTGGAAACATCTGTGGCATAACTGAGGAGGAGAAAGCAGGACCTGGCCGGACACTCATCGGTAGGGTGGAGATAAAATCAAGACCAATCTGTAATTACACCTGGACACGGACAAAATGTGAACATTTTCAAGCCCAAAATACCAAATATCTCCCTATCCTGGCAAATGTGAATGACTGCTGCCTCTTGACTAATTATAGCTTTTGCCTGGCTATAGATAAAATCTGAGAGACCCTATGACAGAGTTACCCCTGCTTCCTGACAGAATCCAAGGCACAAGCAAAATCCTGCTTTCCTACACCCTCCCCCAAATTGCCTAACATGAGCCTAAATCCATTAAGTCTTTTCCAACACATCTCACCGAGACACTCATGGAGTGTGCTCTTGTTTGCTGAAATGAGTAATAAACCCAACTTGTTCAATTACAGGTGTGTTCATGGCAGTCTCTGGCTGAAGAGCACTGACATAATGAACATGTGGACTCCAATGACCATTTAGATTATTCAAGAGTCTGTTCCACACCATTAGTGGGACTATTTGGAAAAATGATCACACTGTAAAGTCCCACAGTCCCTAACACATTGCTGCATGCCATTTAGACAAAGTTGTTATCACAAGAAAAAAATGTTCGTAAACATGTGAGGTGATGAAGGTTAACTAAATTACTATGCTGATCATTTTGCAATATATACATATATCAAATAATTATGCTGTACATGTTGAACTGACATACTGTTATATGTCAATTACATCTCAATAAAACTGGGAAAAGACAAAATGTTATGTAAAAGTTAGATACTGAATGGACAAATATGTATAATATAAAATCCTGACGCTACAACAAAATCTAAGAGCATCTTACTGAGCTGGACACTGGCTGGCCAGTGGCTGAATTTCCACTAACAGTAAGTAAGGCATTCAACTCTTCTGCAAGGTGCGTCTGAACATCCGAGCTGCTTGATGGTGGAGGTGATGAGAAGGCCCGATCGCTATACAAGATGCCTTCGTCTTCTCTTATAATTTCCCAATTCTAAAATGAACAGAATAAGCTTAAGCCACACATACTTTAATCTGTTGCTATAAGATGTGTCTATCTACGAGAAAAAGAACGTTATTTCTACCTCGGATGACTCTCGGTTGTCAACACTTTCTGTTTCCTCAGATATCTGCCGCCTGGTGGTAAATGCACGTTGTGCTTGCAGTTGAATGTTACCATTCTCAGCATCTGTTAGGTTGTCCCTGTATTAGAAATAGAAAAGCTATCACCCATGGCTGAAGAGAGTTAAATTATAGCCAAATATTCTGTGATCATTTAAAAAACACTTGTGTTACATCAGAATTTATTCTTTTCAACATGCGTAGATTAAGTTGTGGGCACACTGGTACCTTATGGGGTTAAAGTTTTTGTGAAAGTGTGTACGTGATATGTCTGACAAACATTTGTTGAATGAATGACTACCTGAGAATTTCACAAATAACTTCATTATATTATTTTGCCATGTTATTACAAGAGTATAATCTAAAGTAGCTCTTGAAAGTTCATAAAAGAGAAGCTTAAAGAGTTGCATATACGTCTTCATGAATCATATGGCAACATTTTCTAAAATTGATCTTAAGCCAAGAGTAGAGTTCCCCATGCATGAATATAGAGAGAAGAATAAAAGACAGGTTAGGTTAAAAAATGTAATATATTGCAATGAAATGGTTATCTATTTTTGATCATATACTAGGTGTACCAGTTAATAATGCAGATTTTGTAATAAAAGAAAACATGATAATTTCAAGAGAAACATCAAAAGCGCTTTATTCAAAGTAATGTCCATTGCTAGCTACACATTTCCCCCATATTTATGTAATTTGTGGATACCATCCCAATAGAACTTTTCTTGTTTTGAGGTAAACCATTCAGAGACCCAATTTTCCACTTTTTCACATATTTTGAAGTGCTGCTCAGAAAGTGCGTGTGCCATTGATCAGAACAAGTGGTAATCTGAAGGAGCAAGGTCTGGTGAATATACAGCGGGTGGGTTAATACTTCCCAGGCAAGATCTTTTAATGTGTCTCTTTAACTGGTTTTGAAGTGTGTGATGGTGCTTTATCATGAAGCAAAATTACTTTGCCGTGTCTTCTGGAACATTCTGGTCGTTTCACGATCAAAGCGTGGTTCAAATTGATTATTTGTTGTCAGTAGTGATCAGTTTTAACGATTTCACCTGGTTTTAGAAGCTAATAATACACCATACCTTCCTGATCCCACCAAACACAGAGCATTGTCTTCTTTCCGAAGCAATTTGGCCTTGCAGTTGATGTTGATGGTTGACCTGGATCAACCCATGTTTTGTGCATTTGGGAATTCTCAAAATAAATCCACTTTTCATCGCCAGTCACAATTCAATGATTTCTTCGTGCCATTGAAGCAACATTTTACTGATGACTTTTCGGTTTTCCATTTGTCTTTCGTTCAGCTGATGTGGCACCCATTTTCCCTCCTTTAAAATCTTTCCCATTGTTTGTAAATAATCGGAAACTGTTTGCTGAGCAACGTTTAATCTTTTTGCAAGTTGTTTTTGAGTTTGACATGCATCTTCATCCAATAATGCTTGTAATTGTTGGTCTTCAAACTTTTTCGGTTGACCTGGATGTTCTTTGTCTTTCACATCGAAATCATCACTTTTAAAGCATTTCAACCAGTGTTCACAAGTATCTTGAGATGTAGCATGTTCACCATAAGCTTCCCGAAGTATACAATAACTTTTTCTTCAAAATAATGAATTAAAACTTCCCACAAATGCTCTTTTTTTGGCACAAAATTCTACATTTTTAAGCGTAAAAATATCTAGGATATTAACACCTTCAGAAAATTTGACATATGAAGTTTTGACGCTTGTTGTCAATACAACAAAATAGCATACATATCAAATTACATATATATCAACATATGTGTAACTCCATCTATTGAAAAAAATCCACATTATTAACTGGTATCCTAGTATAGTAATGGTCCTGGTCTAATAATAACGGTATGCCTGGGTTTAAGAAAAGCATGGGGGTACCATACTGAGGGGTAGGTCTTTTCTATTGTACCTTTCCTAAATTGCCCCAGTCATTTGTTAATCATATTATTCTATTATTTTATTCACTTATTTTATCTAGACCATCAGATCAAGATTTTTTTTTACAAATATTTAATAACAAAGTATTGTTAATTTGTTTAATGCTATATAAGCCCTGGATAGTCAGAACACCAGTTCTTACTGTACTGTTGTTGGAGAACACATAATTTTGACAGGTTCCCCCTCTACCCCTAAATAATTTTGGCTAGCTGAAAATGATATCAACCATAGAGAAAGAAATGTGATTCTGCTCAAGTTGGGCTGGCTGTAATACTGAGTAGGCCAGCCGTGGGCAAACGACGGCCCGCGGGCCGCATCCGGCCCGTTTGAAATGAATAAAACTATTGAAAAAAAAGACCGTACCCTTTTATGTAATGACGTTTACTTTGAATTTATATTAGTTCACACAAACACTCCATCCGTGCTTTGGTTCCGGCCCTCCGGTCCAGTTTGAGAACCCATTGTGGCCCTTGAGTCAAAAAGTGTGCCCACCCCTGGAGTAGGCAATATGACAATTTTGCAGAATTTTACAGTGTCTTCAGTTTTGTAATCTGTATGTCATTTTATAGAGATCGATGCCTCTGTTTCATGATCACTCATTTGCTTTGGGAGGATCTGAGAACGTAAATTCCTATGAAAGTGCCTGGGCTATAACAGGCAAAAAATCAGAAGGTTCATGGAAAATAAAAAAAATTTACATGTGTCAGAAAGCAGAAAACTAGCCCTAACCGGTTTGGCTCAGTGGATAGAGCGTTGGCCTGCGGACTGAAAGGTCCCAGGTTCGATTTCGGTCAAGGGCATGTACCTGGGTTGCGGGCACATTCCCAGTGGGGGTGTGTAGGAGGCAGCTGATCGATGTTTCTCTCTCATCGATGTTTCTAACTCTCTATTACTCTCCCTTCCTCTCTGTAAAAAATCAATAAAATATATTAAAAAAAAAAGAAAGCAGAAAACTAAAGAAAGACTTCAGAAGGCTATGAGGAATAGAAGGATAGTTGATAATAAATATGAATAATAGGAGAATTTATTTATAAATATATAGTCTAATGAGAATATGAGAAAAATGTCACTGAGGAGATGTATCCTATCTAATAAAAGAGTAATATGCAAATTAACCATCACTTTGCGATAAAGATAGCGGCACCCACAGCCAATAAGGAGGGAATATGCAAATTGATGTGACAAAGATGGCGGCACTGGCGGGAGCCATGGAGCTGGCCGGAGCAGGCGGGAGGCTTGGTTTTCTTGGTCACCCCAGCGACCAAGGAAGCCAAGCCAGCTGGAGAGTGGGCAGGAGGTGGAGGCTTGGCTTCTTTGGTTGCCCCAGCCGGCTCCATGGCCATTGCCCAGACAAAGCCATAGTGGCAGGGCCAAGGCAGAGGTGGTTAAGGGCGATCAGGCCAGGAAGGGAGGGCAATTGGGGGTGATCAGGCTGGCGGTGGGGGAAGTTGGGGGTGAGCAGGCCGGTAGGGGGCGGCCAGTTGGGGGTGAGCAGGCTGGCGGGGGGGCAGTTGGGGGCAATCAGGCCAGCAAGATGGGGCAGTTGGGGGTGAGAAGGCCGGTGGGGGGCAGTTGGGGGCAAGCAGGCTGGCAGGCAGAGTGGTTAGAGGCGATCAGGCAGGCAGACAGGTGAGCGGTTAGGAGCCAGCGGACCCGGATTGTGAGAGGGGTGTCCCAGATTGGAGAGGGTTCAGGCCGGGCTGAGGGACACCACCATCCGTGCATGAATTTCGTGCACTGGGCCACTAGTCTATAATAATAAAAGTGTAATATGCTAATTAAACTGGACAGCCGAACAACCTTCCGGACGACATTCCAGATGACCTTCAGGACAAAGCCGGGGCTGCAAGGGCTGAGGCAAGCCACCACAGCTGCGAGGGCTGAGCCCCTTGCATGAATTTCATGCATAGGACCTCTAGTATTAGAATGAAGATCATTCTTGAAGGTCATTCTGTCCTTGATCTGGTGTATGGTAGAAATTATGCACACATTGACCAGATTGGCAAATGGGTGCTTAACAAAAGATCCTTGTAATTGAATCCTTTATATTTAAAAAATAATTTGTATTTTTTAAAGTGTGCTATAGAATTTAAGATTTTATAATATTTTAGTAAAAAATTTCTAAGATTTTCTAAATAATTCTAAAGAGAAAAATGTATCCTTTGTGGCTACATAATATTAAAAACAAGCACAGTTAACAATTTATTATTAAAATATAGAAGCAATTAGAAGGGTGGTATTTGTGACTCAAATAATTTTGAATATTACCAAATTATTTTTAAAAACATGCAAAAAAGATAGCATTTTTTAAGCCCTGGACCATAAATATCTTAGTGCAGTTTATGGATCCCTATTCTATTACAAATGCATTAGAAACATGACTTCAAAAAGAAAAGTAATGGTCACAATGTATTCAGATTACAAACATGAAAGCCATCAGCACATACTGAGGGGTTGGTCTTTTCCACTGCGTTCTTCTAGATTCATGGTTTACGTAGTAGGTCCTTCCAAGAATATCCTGTCTCTCTTCCCAGCCTGGAGGTAGAGGAGAAGGTTCTTGTTGCTGCTGCAAATGGCAAGCAGCATCTGGTTGGTCCAAAACAACCCAGCCAGGCTGAAAACAGAGAGTTAACAATTAAGCTTAAGTTTGATTTTTTTGACCTTATAAATTATGCCAGGGGATATTTAAAACGTAATTTAGCATATCCAAGTCCAGAAATTGAACAAAGAATAAGCACACAGTCAACTTTTAAGATCATCATATGGATTTTTATGATAATGAAGACATATTTTTTTCAAAATAACATTTACATTTTGCTTGAAACTTTAAAAATGTTTTGAAAACATTTTAAAACTATATAATAGACCTTGTATAGGGTGGAAATCAGTATCTCTCTGATACCTGAAAAAAATATTATTAAGTGAAGGTGAAATATATAGAGGCAAGAAAGGGAAGTGCAAATTATTTAGAAATAATTGTGATAATGAACTCTCTAGTGATTGAAAAGTCATCTGACTTTTCTCTTTCTCCTCTGGACCAAGGAAAAGCATTTGGTCAAGTCAGGAAGCAGCCCAAAAGCCCTGGCCAGGTAGCTCAGTTGGTTAAAGTGTTGTCCCCATACATCAAACTTAGGGGTTTGATCCTTGGTCAGGGCACATACAAGAATCAACCAATGAATATATAAATCATTGCAACAACAAATCAATGTTTAAAAATTTCCAGAAATGACATTATAAAAAATTTAAAAATAAAGAAATAAAAAAACGACAAACTGGCCAACATTTGGTACTATGATAACAGACAAAAAATAATTTCTTTAATATATACAGACTTTTTTCCCCTAGGCACTGGGGATCCCACACTAAAGGACTGTTGTGCGTCAACCAATTGATGGCTGAGAAGACGGAAGAGAATTCTTCCATATTGAAAACTGGATCTAAAATTGAGGGATCAGGGAGAAGAGCTGGGGAGGAAAGGAGTCTTTTCTGGCAGCAGGGTTTCTACAGCAATGCTGGGCTCTTCTGGTCAGCTTGGAGGGGACTGTGAAAGCCTGAGAAGCAGAGGGAGAGGAAGGCTGAAAGAATTATTCTGGGAGAAGGAATGTGGATGGGAACTCACTTTCTTTCTTCCTCTTTGTTGTTTTCCTTTTTACCTCTTTTATGGGAACTGGCATCGCTTTATTATTTTTTAATGCCCAAACTCCATTCTGTTCCTCCCCTCTATCCTCTTACTTTTTCTCTCCATCTAAGTTTACCTTCCTTTTATCTTTCTCCATTCATTGAAATAATCATAATATAGGATCAACAAACCTAAAATTTAGCCTTGTATATATTAAATTTTATTCCTCCAGTTTCAATTTCCAAAGTATGTGAGTTGAATTTATATTTTACTCTAAAAAAAAAAGACTAACAAGTATTTTGTTTAATATGGTCACTGATTATTTTTCTGCAGATTAATGACAATTATTAATAAAATGGTCCTTGTTACTGCTTTAAAGAACTGTAAAACTAGTCAGAGCTAGGAATATGGTATCAGAAAATAGTTAAAATCTTCTTAAGGATTTCTCTCTTAAAGGTCTGCTTATTGGATTATGCTATCTAAACAAATCCAAGGAAAAGGAAAAACTAACTTAAGAACCCTTTGTAAAAAGCCTATTTCAAGTTTGAAAAAGTACAGTTGTACATTTTAACATTGTTTAGAAAGATTGAGCTCTAATTTTTTTTACCTAATGCCTTCCTATTAAACATGTATCAGCTAATGTTCCTCACAGAATAATTTTCTAAGTATCAACGAATGTTATTTAATTACTAACCTCAAAGCTAAAGATGCAACTGCCCACAATTGAATGGAGTCAAAGGCCAGAAACAAAGCATTCAGAGCTACAACCAACACTGTATGTTAATCTTGTGAAATACGTACACCCTAAATCAACAGTTGCAAGGGGTACAAAAAGAAAATGCTACATAATATCTTTATAGCCAGACTTCATCTTACTAAGGAAGACTAGCTGCCTTAGAGTAGCCTCTTATGAAGATGGCCATTGTTTTCTTTAAATAGTAGAATTGTGTATATTCAGTCACAAACTAGATGTCAAAGGCAAGACTTCTCTGGTCATTAGCTACACAGAACATAAATAAGCACAGATTCATGTGTTTGAATTCCTGGGGCCTTTCATAAATAAACTCCTACACGCTTACATCTACTGAAATTATAAGGTGCATTCTGAGGGAATTCAAACATTGAGACAGGAGACCACAAATGAAGCGAAGCAGCTCTGCCCACAGAAACTCAACTGTGAATAAGGTACCTGTGATATGTGCATGTGGGCAGGACTTGGAGCAGGTTACTAAATAATAAAATGCTGTTAATTTTTTTAAAAGTTACTAAATAAAGAATTTTCGTTCTTTACAGCAGACAGCCTTCATTTCAAACAGAATTTCATTATGCAAAATACCCTGTGTACCAAAATGTCAGAAACTTTGATGTAATAAATATCTTTAAACTTTTAAGTGATTATTATATGATAAATCAGAGGAAAACTAAAAAGATAAAAAGGTAATCAAATAAGTGATTATAGACATAAGAAAGGACACCAAGTTCTTTGACAGTCAAACAAAGGGCTAATGATATTCTACTAGAGGCCTGGTGCACAAAAATCGTGCACTGGGGGGAATCCCTCAGCCTGGCCTGTGCCCTTTCACAGTCCAGGAACCCTCCGGGGATGTCCGCCTGCCAGCTTAGGCCCCAGGGGTCGGGCCTAAGCAGGCAGTCAGACATCCCTCTCACAGTCCCGGGCTCTCGCAGTCCAGGACCCCTCCCTCCCTACCACCCTCCTGTAGTGGAGGCGGGAGAGGCTACCGCCACTGCTGCTGCACTTGCCGCCGTGAGCCCGGCTTCTGGCTGAGTGGTGCACCCTCTGTGGTAGCACACTGACCACCAGGGGGCAGCTCCCACATTGAGCGTCTTCCCCCTGGTGGTCAATGCACGTCATAGCAACCGGTCGTTCCGTCGTTTGGTCAATTTGCATATTAGGGTTTTATTATATATGATGACTCAAAGACAAAAAGTTCTTCCCATTATTTCAGATTCCCCATTTGTGTATATAAAAAATTCCCTGAAAGTTCTATAGCAAAAGCACTGCTTATTCTCGAGCTTTCTTTCCCTTCTCAAGGTATGTGGGTTTGTGAGGTAGAGCCCAGTCTTTGGGGAGGTTCCTCAGCTTTATAGTTCTTTTTTTTTTATATATTTTATTGATCTTTCACAGAGAGGAAGGGAGAGAGAGAGTTAGAAACATCGATGAGAGAGAAACATCGATCAGCTGCCTCCTGCACATTTCCCACTGGGGATGTGCCCGCAACCCAGGTACATGCCCTTGACCAGAATCGAACCTGGGACCTTCAGTCCGCAGGCCGACGCTCTATCCACTGAGCCAAACTGGTTTCGGCCTTTATAGTTCTTTTGAAGATCTAATCAGACCCTCAAGCAAAGAGGCATGGCTGTTGAGGGAGGTATGCCTCACACACACACACACACACACACACACACACACACCATACATACACACCCACACACACACACCCTCCCAAGCAAGTTGGTGCCAATACACTATGTGCCATCTTTTGATGATAATGTTCCTGCAATGGGAACCTCAGTGGACAGGTGTTTTTTGTCCTTTATTCAAATCATAAAAATTTCTGCTGGAAGAACCCCTAGAGCTCATCTGACCCCACCCTGTCACTCTGCAAATAAAGAGCCTGAGGTTCAGAGAAGTTCAGGGACTCACAGAATCACTGGCTGGCTCATAGCAGACCTTGCAACTAGGATTCCACTCTCCAATTCCCAGACCAATTCTATTCCAAATACACACTCTCGGCCTCTTCTTCTTTTTTAAAAAAATATTTTTTTATTGACTTCAAAGAGAGGAAGGGAGAGGGAGAGAGAGATAGAAAAATCAATGAGAGAGAATCATTCGTCAGCTGCCTCCTGCACGCCCCCAATTGGGGATCGAGCCCGAACCCAGGCATGTGCCCTGACCGAGAATCGAATGGTGACCTCCTGGTTCATGGGTGGACAGTCAACCACTGAGCCACATCGGCTGGGCCGGCTTCTTCTTCACGCACCTAAGGTGTAAGTAGTTCTGGCCAAATACTTGACTTGGACTTCCTCTTATTCTGTCATCCATGAAAGTTGTTAAATTCTATTTACCCCAAATAAATGTGGCCTAGTAGATCACTTGAATTCGCTCCTCTCTTTTTCATTCCCCTTCTTTCCTCCCCAACCATAATAGGAAAGGAAATTACATTTCATTAAAAAGTTCCTAATTAGTTGAGTTTCCTCAAATTTCCATGTATTTAACTTACAAAGTTATGTGGGTTTTATAATAAAGTAGAACATGACATGGTTTAGAAAACCAAAAAACTAGAAACAGTTAATGACTTGATTATGACAAATGCTTTCATTTATAACACTGTATTCTCTATTCTCTAACCTTTTAGAATTCCATTGATAATGGCCATTCATTCTATAGAAATACCCTTAGAAGAAAGAAATGTTTAATACATGGTGGGGTAAAATAAATAAATATCCAGGTAAATAATTTATATCACACATTGTATAAAGTTATTTTTTCTTCACAGAATACTAAAGTAAGGAATTAGGTATTTCATTTTTAGTTTAACCAAATATTTACAAAATCTCACCTCTAATTCCTCAACCTGTTCTTCGTTATCTTCTTCTGAGCCACTGGTTTTAGGTAAATAAGTCATTTTTAATCTCAGATAACCTTTAACTCTTGATTTATGACTGTAGAAAAGAAAATAATTATTCACAAAACTTTAACACTAGGAGAAAAACATTCATTTACTAAGAGTTTATTGAACACCCACTAGCTACTAGAGGAGACTCAAAGACAAGGTCCAGTGCAGAAGGTATCTAGGAAAAGGAATACACAGTGGAACAAAAGGAACATATACGTATAAATAACTGTCATGAGATAAATAAGATACTCAGGAAGTTTAAGTTAAAGATCAGAGAGAGTTTGAAAGACAAGTTGGCATTTGAGTTGGGCCTCACAGATTGATGAAGGTTTTGATCTATGGCAGTGAAGGGGAAGGCCTCTGAGTGAATAAAAGAGCAAAAACAAGGAAATAGATGGGAAACCTAGGGTGCAATTAAGGGAATGGCTGTGGTTGGGTTTGGCTGGATTACAGGGGACATAAAGGAGGTGGTGATGGCCGATGATGAGGTCCAGGTGAAACAAGCGAACTTGAGGTTTTATTTTGCCTACTCTGTGAAGCCACAGCATTCTGGAGATGGGGAAAGGCATCCCCGGAGACGAAAGACGCGCTTTCGAGATTCTAATCTACCACATTGTATAAGATGATGGGAGAGGGAAGAGCAAAGCCTGACGACCGTCTGAATCCTACATTACGTCCTTCTTTGACAGCTATGTGAATCTGCCATACACTAATTTACCTGATCTGTTTTCATATTGTTATCACCTCTTTGAATAATGAGTTGTCAAAGCTAAAGGTTGCTAGCCGCTGTATTAATATTTAAATTTTTTAAACCTGTTTTCCTTAGACTTCTACCTCAAGACTTACTGCCCCCATCAATTTTAACATCCTATTTACTTAAGAAATCTTTGCTTGTCCCACCTTTCTATATAGATTTTTTTGCGGTGATTTTTATAGATATCAGTTATGTTACTAATTAGACTTTGTCTCTCTAGACAAGAGTCCTAATTCTTTTATTCTGTCTTCAAGAAATATGCCTCCCCGGTGACCCCTTAATCTTTTTAGTTGTTCCTCTGTGTATAGTTCGCATGGACTTGGTAAGTGGACCTTTCCTGAGTGGCAAATAAAATCCCTGATGCTTATTTCCAAGGCCGCTAACGGTGGCCTGTCACCATATTTAAGGGGCTGTGAACACTGACTTATTGCTATAAAAGACAGATACAGAAATCTTGCCCTGACAATGTTTTATAGAAGAGTTTCTCTGCAATGATAGGTTTCCTCTCTTTCCATCTAGATAGTAAGTCTGTGGGGTTGGACTTAATGGGGCTTTAAAAATCTGGGAATATAGTTCGTTTTCTATCTGAATAAAGTTCTTTCTGCACTTGCAATAATATCCAGTGCAGATAGAAGATGTAAATTTTTATAGTTTTCAAAGGTAAGGATACTAGAAAGCATTTGACAAATTGAAAAGCAGGCTAGTAGGGCAATCAAATAAGAGAATAAATATTTATTTAGTTATTCTTGGTGTGCAGATGTCACAATCAGTCTAAAATTAAAGGAAGAAAAGAGATTTGTATTCCAAGACTTTTATAGAATTTAAATATGTGACTTCTCTTAGAAAAAGTAAATATTAATAGCCAGAGAGCACTGTCCCTTTTTCTTTAATATTTATATTGCAAAGAATAATTTTTAAAAATAATTTTAAGTGAAAAAAAATTTGCTACGTTCCCATTGTATGCTTTTCAAATGTATTTTCTAGCTTTAAAAACAAGGCAGACACTGTTTTTACAGATGTCCTTTCTCTGCGTTCCTCTGACCTTCCTGACAGTTCAGTCCTCACACGTGTCCTGACGAGACTTGACTATGTGGTACAGAAGGTCAAACGGAGCTTAAAACACCAGCATTTTGATAAAAATCAAGTAATTTAGTTTAGGAAAATGAGATTATGGGTTTTAGATTCCAGTCTTTACTCATGTTATTTTCTCTAAATATTTGAATTTTATGAAATACCCTTTTTTATTAAAGTACACAACATGTAGTTAGGTTTTTCTGAAATTGGTTTTGTGCCTGTCAAGTCGGTATTAGTTTTAGGTAAACTGATGTTTGTGATTTTTTAAAGCATAGTGTGACAAAATTACGTACACTTGACGATATAAAATGACAAATTTTAGTCTGATAAGTGTTAGGGGGACAAATCTTTCCCAAAAGGGTGTTATCACTTTTCTGTATTATGTATATATTATATAATACATATTACATAATATATATATAATTTCTGTATTATGCATATATTACTCTGTAATCAGATATAACAATAAAACTTTTGAAAAATAATAAAATATTTAGAAGTAGCTTGTTTACAAAGGTTTAAACTTTGAATTTTCAAAGTGGTTTAAAGAAATTCTTTAAAAACTTAATGTTATTATTTTATAGTTACTGACCTTCTTGGGTGAAGAACAAAATCCTTAAATGTATATGGTCTCTCCATTCTTGGATTTTCTGTCTAGAATAAAACAGTGGGTTTTCAAGATGTATCTAGAACACCAAAATATGTACTTTTCAAGACTATTCATGAACTATGATTTAAGACATAACTGAAGTCAGAACTGAGGGGAAAAAATAGCTTTAGATGAAATGGTTACAATCAATAGTGCTTTCACTTTTCTGCACCATAGGAATTGCAACAGGCATCACAACTCAATCTAAAACTAGCTGAACAGGTGTGTTGTGGAGCCAAAAATAGGGTAGGAAGTGAAAAAACAGCAGAGTGGCTAGTGGAATATGCCATGTCAGAAAGCTGGCATGGTGAGAGCAGAGAGACAATCCTAGGAGAATGAAAAAGTAAACAGCGTGGAAAATAAGACTGAATTCAATGTATTATTAAAAGCTTGTAATCTCTGAAGGTGGTAGAGAGCCAAAAATATCTCAAAAGACTGATATGGTAAAGAAGTACTACTTCTCTTTCTGATCAAGTTCAGCAGCCTTTTTTATTATCCTTTATTCCCTGTTGCATTTTGCATTGTTAACTACCCATTCAGTTGTGGGACTCTTGAATTCTCATGACATTATTTCACTTGGTTCTTTTGCTGTCTCTCCTTGTCTGTTTCTCCTTCTCCTCTGGCAGACCCAGGCCATCTAAGGGTCAATGTTTGCCTTCAGTGCTTTCATCTCTCTTATTTGGACAGCCAGCCAATCATTCCCAGAGATTCTGCTGTTACCTCGACATTGATTTCTCTCAATTCTTCTAGTCCCTTTTCCCTACACAATTTATTTTCACATCTCTGTCAGCTGCCCACTTTTAAGTTTTCATTTTTCCTGTTTTCTATTGAAATTCAGTATGGTAAAAAAATAAATATATCTGTCATATTTCAAAACAAAAGGGCTTTTCTTCCTAACTTTTCTATTTGAGATACCACCCTTATCACCCAAGTTCAACCTGTATTATCTGTACTTTTTATTCATTTTTAACCCCCCTGTCAGAAATTTGGTCCAATGCAGTTTTATTATAAAATGTTTCCTGAATCCGTTTTCCTCCATTGTTATATGCTTGGTCCAGATTTCATGTCTATATTGTTATAACCTATCTCCCCATTCTAGTTATTTAATAGAATATTTTCAAATTGATCTTTCTCAAAGAATGTTTTCATGTCAACAAACTTCAATGGCTCTGTTTCTTACTGGGGTTCATGTAAGATAAAATTAAAACAGAAAATTGAGATGTGTTTTCAGAAAATAATATACTCAAGGAATGATATCAGTATATATTTTAGAAATCAAATATTCCTCAAATATTAATTACAATGTATATGTTTATGTATTTATTAAAGTAAAAACAATAAACATAAAAGGTAAAATCATGAACATTTATACTAACCGGTAATGGGTAAAGAGGAACATCCACTTGACCTAGAAAATCATCTCTTGTCTACAAGAGAAAAAGAAAAAATAAGGTTAGTAATATGCTTAATGTTTTTATAAAATTTTGATGAGCTATTGCCATGATTCACCAAAAAAAATGTAAAAGGTGTTTTTTTCAATCCTATATAATATCAATAGAAAATAAAAAGTAATATGGTATAATTTCTGGTAATGGCAGATTAGAGTATATTAGATTGATCCTTTTGCAGATAATAATTATGTAGTCTGAAAATAACTATTTGAAAGCACCATAGACTGACAAAAGCAGGCAGAAACTGGAGGGGAGTCAATCTTGGAAGAAAGAAAGAACTATAGTGGGTTGGATTCGTATTTAAATGGCTTTCCACCTGGTAGTACTCCATAGTTCATATGGTGAAGTGATTAGAACTTAAGCAGAAATCCAAAATCTTACTTGTTTGAAGACCTAGTTTGAGGTTAATGGCATAGCTGGAAAGTGAGGGGGACAATCCCTAAAAGAAAGAAGCCACAAGAGTCCCTCCAGATCTATATATAAACCCTACCCAAATTCCTAGCTGATTCTTGAACTGCATATGTGAAAGGCAACAGCTGGAAGGCTGAGAGGATTGAGCATAGATTTCAGTTGATGTTCACCTGATGAGAGATAGCATTTGGACTTCTGTTAACAACTTGCTAGAACAAAAATCAATACCCTTCAGGGAAAGATAACAAAATTCATGGTCTCCATCCTGTACCACACACTGTCCAGGATACAATAAAAATTACTAAATATACAAAGAAATATAATCTAGTATCAAAGAAAATATAATTAATAGAAACCAACCACAAGATGAGCCAGATCTAGGAATTAGCAGACAGGGAAATTAAAACAGCTATTATACAAATGTTTAAGGACTTAAAAGGACAATATCATCATAATTAATGAATGGATGGGGAATCTCAGCAGTGAAATGGAAATTCTAAAAATGAATCAAATGTATATTTTAGAAATAAAAGATGTATCTGAATTAAAGATCAGTGGGTGGGCTTAACATATGATTAAAATGACAGGAGAAAATTTATGTTAACTTGAAGACATATCCATAGAGTTTATCTAATATGAAAAATAAAAAGCATTTGCAAAAAAATTTCAAGCAGTCAAGAGAAAGAGGAAATAGGACAGAAAAATACTTGAAGAAAAAAGCAGTCATCTTCCTCAAATGTTAACATCTTACATAACTACAGCACAATGATCAAAACCAGGAATACTATTAGTTAACCTACAGATCTCACTCTAATTTTGCTACATGCCCACTAATTTTGACCCAGGGTCCAATGCAGGGTTACACACTGCATTTAACTGTCACGTCTCCTTAGTTTCTTTTAATCTGGAAAGTACTTCAGTTTTGTCTTTCGCAATCTGGACATTTTTAAAAAGGACTGGCTAATTGCAGAATGTCCCTCAATTTGGGTTTGTCGAATGTTTCTTCATGGTTGAATTTTATGTTATACACTTTGGAGTATACCACTTAGAATACTATATAAACTTTTTAGAAACTTTCCTTGAACTCAAGGAAATGAATTTTGAGAGTGAAAGGCTCCATTGAGTATTAGGCAAATTGCATGGAAAAAAAAAAAAAAAAAAAGACCCACAGTGAGACACATCATTTTGACATTTCAGAGCAACAGAGATAAAGCAATTCTACTCAGTGTTTTGGGAGTCACAAAACAGATCATACCAAAACTGAAAGACAAGAGACATAATATCTCTAAAATTATGAGAGAAAAATATTTCCTACATAGAATTCTATACCCAGATGAACTATCTTTTTCAATGATAAAGGTACAATAATGACATAGTCAGACACTGGTATTCTTAGGAATGCAATGAGGATATACTTCACCAAAATGAGGGAGTTCACCATAGTAAGGGCAGGTATAGGGGATTCAAAGCAGGAGAGAAGCAAAGAAAATGATGGAGAAGAGAACTCTCAGATTAACAGTAGTAGAAGACCCACAGAAAAACAATAAGAGAGATGCTTCTAGAAGAACAGGAATAATCATATCTACCTGATAGGGTTTTGTTAGAATTAAATGAGATAATATATGTAAAGTACTCTGTATATGCCCAGCCAGTGTGGCTCAGTGGTTGAGCATTGATCTATGAACCAGGAGGTCACGGTTCAATTCCTGGTCAGGGCACATGCAGGGATTGTGGGCTCGATCTCCAGTAGGGGGCATGCAGGAGGCAGCCAATCAATGATTCTCTCTCATCATGGATGTTTCTATTTGTCCCTTCCTTTCTGAAATCAATAAAAATATATTTAAAATAAAATGCTCTGCATAAAACCCAGCATATAGTAAGCATTCAGTAAGTGTTAGCTGTTACATTTGAAATGAAGGGTTCTATAATGAACTCCCTGCTCCCTTTCCTCTGGGCCAGTCTATGGAGATTTCAAACAGGTACATACAATAAAAGGAGCATGGCTGGACATTGAAGCCTAACATACTAGCTGAGCTTAGGGCCATATTCCAGAACAGGAGATGACAATTTTTGAAATGGAAAAGTTAACTTTTAATTATACCTTTAAGGCTGCTCTATGGCACATTTTTTGGTTTTTTTTTTTTTTTACCAGCTGTACTGGTTAATAATGCAGATTTTTTTCAATAGATGGAGTTACACATATGTTGATATATATGCAATTTGATATGTATGCTATTTTGTTGTATTGACAACAAGCTTCAAAACTTCATATGTCAAATTTTCTGAAGGTGGTAACATCATAGGTATTTTTACACTTAAAAATGTCGAATTTCATGCCCAAAAAAGAGCATTTGCGGGAAGTTTTAATTCATTACTTTATTTTGAAGAAAAGTGCTGCTGAAAGTTCTTGTACACTTCGGGAAGCTTATGGTGAGCATGCTCCATCTCAAGATACTTGTAAATGCTGGTTTAAACGCTTTTAAAGTGATGATTTCAATGTGAAGGACAAAGAACGTCTAGGTCAACAGTAAAAAGTTGGAAGACCAACAGTTACAAGCATTATTGGATGAAGATGTGTGCCAAACTCAAAAACCACTTGCAGAAAGATTAAATGTTGCTCAGCAAGCAATTTCCGATTGTTTACAAGCAATGGGGAAGATTTTAAAGGAAGGAAAATGGATGCCACATCAACTGAACAAAAGACAAATGGAAAACTGAAAGGCCTCGGTAAAATGTTGCTTCAACGGCACAAAAGAAAGTCTTTTTTGCATCTAATTGTGACTGGCGATGGAAAGTTGATTTATTTTGAGAATCCCAAATGCTTGGCAGCTCCTGTATTGAGTGTCTGCCCTCTGGTGGTCATTGTGCATCATAGCTACCAGCTGGTCGAACAGTCGCTTAGCCTTTTATATATATATATACTAGAGGCCCGGTGCACAAAAATCTGTGCACTCGGGGGGCGGGGGAGGATCCCTCAGCCCGGCCTATGCCCTCTTGCAGTCTGGGACCCCTCGGAGGATGTCCACCTGCTGGATTAGGCCCGCTCCCTGAGGGATCAGCCCAAACTGGCAGTCAGACATCCCTCTGGCCGCCCGGCAGCCCTCGGGGGATGTCCACTTACCAGCAGGGAGCAGACCTAAGCTGCAGTGGGACATCCTTAGTGCTGCTGAGGAGGGGGGAGAGGCTCCTGCCACCACCGCTGTGCTAGCAGCCATCAGCCTGGCTTGTGGCTGAGCAGAGCTCCCCCTGTGGGAGCGCACTGACCACCAGGGGACAGCTCCTGCATTGAGCATCTGTCCCCTGGTGGACAGTGTGTGTCATAGTGACCAGTCATTCCCAGTTGTTCTGCTGTTAGGGTCAATTTGCATATTACCCTTTTATTATATAGGATAGAGGCCTGGTGCACAGGTGGGGGCCGGCTGGTTTGCCCTGAAGGGTGTCCCGGATCAGGGTGGGGGTCCCGCTGGGGTGCCTGGCCAGCCTGGCTGAGGGGCTGATAGCTGTTTGCAGCTGGTCACACCCCCTTCATGGTGGGGTCCCCACTGGGGTGCCTGGCCAGCCCAGGTGAGGGGCTGATGGCTGTTTGCAGGCTGGCCACACCCCCTTTAGGGTGGGGGGGTCCTCACTGGGGTGCCTGGCCAGTATGGGTGAGGGGCTGAGGGCCGCTTTCAGGTTGGCCAAGCACCCCAGTGATGGAAGCTCCCAGCCTCTCCTTTTTTTCTTTTTCTTTTTTTATTCTGGGATTTATTTACCTTCTATAATTGAAACTTTGTAGCCTTGAGTGGAGCTCAGAGCCAGCCAGAGCGGGGCGGGAAGCTTGGCTTCCTCTATCACCAGGGGCAACCCAAGCATCCTGGTCGCTCCAGCTCCGTGGCCATGGCCAGCTGAAAGCAGGTATCTGGGGTTTATTTATCTTCTATAATTGAGACTTTGTTGCCTTGAGTGGAGCTCAGAGCCAGCCGCAGCAGGCAGGAAGCGTGGTTTCCTCCATCACTGGGGCAACGAAGTCTCCTGCTTGCTCCAGCTCCGTGGCTGCCGGCCACCTATTTGGTTGGGTTAATTTGCATATAGTCACTCTGATTGGCTGGTGGGTGTGGCTTAAGACATAGCGAAGGTATGGTCAATTTGCATGTTTGTCTTTTATTAGTGTAGACTAGTAGCCTGGTGCACCAGATTTGTGCACATTAAAAGGGAATTAATTGCCCTAACCGGTTTGGCTCAGTGGATAGAGCATCGGCCTGCAGACTCAAGGGTCCCAGGTTCTATTCCGGTCAAGGGCATGTACCTTGGTTGTGGGCACATCCCCAGTGGGGAGTGTGCAGGAGGCAGCTGATTGATGTTTCTCTCTCATCGATGTTTCTAACTCTCTATCCCTCTCCCTTCCTTTCTGTAAAAAAATCAATAAAATATTTTTTTTTAAAAAAAAGGGAATTAATTAGTGGAGATATTTTAACCCTACCAAACCGCTGTATCGATTTTTCGGTAATTTCCACACAAAGGTGGAATATTGGCGCTAGATGAAAGGTAGATGAAAGGTAGACCTATTTTCTACAATGTCTCCAAGT